CTTCATCATGATCCAAACGCCTGGGATGACGTTGATCGATTTATTCCAGAAAGATATTTAGGTGAGGATGGGAAACTAGGACCTAAGCCAAAAAACTGGCTGCCATTTTCGGCGGGAACAAGAGTGTGTCTAGGAGAATTTGTAGCAAAACCAGAGTTACATCTAATATTTGCAAGTTTAATGCAACGCTACAAATGGAGAATGGAGTCTGGAATGTGTGCAGATATCACTCCAGTTGGCTCAGCTTTTCAAGTGGGTTGTAAACCACATAAAGTCATCGCTGAAAAGAGAGTTTAACATATAGTGTTTGGATAGATTTAGGATAAAAAGTTAATAAATAGAACAGCGGCCTTTAACTGTACACAGCAACAATCATTATATTCCTTTAAAAATAGAATAATTTATATCTAAAAGAACAAACAAATGACATTCTAATAGGACATTGTCTCTCACAAAATATTTAAACTTTGTTGTGGCCACTGTGAACGTCATGTGACTGACAGTGCATAAAGTCTGACATCAATTATTAGACATACAGGGAAATACTTATAAATTAAAATAAAGACTTTATTTAACGAGAGAACTCATTTGAACAAACATATCAATATTCCATGAGGCCTTCAACAAGGAACAATATAAAAAAATATTCAAACTATTTAAATAGATAAATGTTAATACATACAGGAGATTATCAATTTTTATAAATAAGTGAGTGATAATATCTCAAGTATACTGTGCTCCTCTTAGTTCACGGTACTTAACACTTTAAAACAGTAAGGCACACAAACAATAAACTTACACTACAAAAACTGTATCATTTAGTCATTTTTCTGCTATATGACACAAGAAAACAACAATATATTCAATCAAAATTAGTTTTAATTTGTCAGATGTTAACCGTGTGTCGGCCATTTTGAAAACAGTATGTCATCATTTACCTCACGGTAATGGCGTTTTATTTCAGTTTTTTCATGTTTCAGTTAAAATTTCTTTAAGTTATTTTGCATAATTTTAAATACATGTATTAAAAGCATCTTTACATTGTAACGCAAAATTAATTTTTTCAACAAACAAAAACTTTTAGAAAATGATGATTGTTTCAGACGTATGCACAAATTTAATGGACTATTATTGTTTTTTGCCGAAGTTTGTAAAATGTTGTTCAATTTTACGTAAAAATCTATAGATTTAAATTATTTTGCACAAAAACTTTTTTGTTAAGGTGTTTGAATAAAATATGTCAATTCTGACCAATTATGTCAATGGTCACATGAAAATATGCCTTTACCGTGAGATAAGTGATGACGCGTAATTAGTGATGTTGAGTATATAATGTATTAAAATGGTTCACAGATGTAGCAAACTAAATATAATCAGAAAGGCCGTTCCAAATACAAGATCTAGAATAAACAAAGACTTAGGAAATTGTTCAGTATTTTGTCCAGGGGAATAAAGTTGAAAATCGGAAGATGAACGCAAAATGCGAGTATGAACATCTGATGATAAAATGAAATTCTTCAATAAATAAGAAGGCGCCTGATTATTCCTTATAATTATAACACACAAAAACTACGAAGATGCAATAAATACACTTTAAATATGTGCATTCAAACAAGAGATATTTAAATTTGGCCACTTAAAAATTTAAAAGAACTACTTTCTAGACTTCTAGACCGAGGTGAGACCAATAAGACATCACATACATGATATCTATGATGAGAAGCAAACTCGCAAACTCCAGAACTTCTTTTTTCCTTTCTGATATACGCAATGGACTATGCACACCAATTTAAAGAGTCATTTTATATCATTTGCCTCATTTACTTAATATCATAATTATTCTTCCCTATTCATATTTATTTTTATATTTTTTTTTTTCTTTATTTAAAATTATGTTTTGGGCAGTCATATGTTGTTTGCACATTTTACATGGTATAGCTTGCACAAATGTATAGGAAATAAAGAAATATCATCTTATGATATTTATCTTTTTTTTAAATTTTGTTATAACATCGCAATGCTTAAATGTACATTATGTCTGGGAAATAAATACTTCTTTTCATTCTGTAGAGAGGGCATAGATTTGTTTTATAATATATGAGCCGCGTCACGACAAAACCAACATAATGCGTTTGCGACCAGCATGGATCCAGACCAGCCTGCGCATCCGCGCAGTCTGATCAGGATCCATGCTGTTCGCTTACAAACCCTATAACAAGTAGAGAAACTGATAGCGAACAGCATTGATCCTGATCAGACTGCGCGTATGCTGGGCAGTCTACGCAGAGGGTCAGCTTAGTGACATGGCAGCTGAAGGTTCGTCAAAAGCAGAGGCAGTTCGGCAGAAAGATGTCGAAAGAATGAGCACTCTTATTCACCGTCAATAGCTCATAAAGTTAGCTGACTCAACTGAATTGGGCCGGAGGGTTGTAAATGAATAGGAGGCACACCCGCTAGCCGAATATTCGGATGATGACAAGAAGATCTATCGAGCCCAGCTACATGCGGACCGTAAAGCCAAGCAGGAAAGGCGGGCAATACTAAGCGAAATACTCCATATGTAGTTCCGGCACCCAGTTCACAATCGGCCGTGACGTCACCTTCAGGCGCACGTATTCAGACGATAGGTCGAAAACTGGGCTTGTGTTTTCGTTGTGGGAAACCAGGGCAGGCTGACTGTATGATGACATCTGATCTCATGAGTAACAGAATGCTTAAGCGTCTTGGATAAGTATATTCTATTTAAATCCTGTTTCATTATTGAATAATTGGTCAGATAAGACAGTTTTTGATAGTAGATCAAGAGAGAACAATGAAAAGGTTCTATCTCCATTTGGCAAACTGCGGGAAAATATTTCTCATTGGGAAAGTGCAGGCGCGCAAGTAGCTTTGTATTGGAGGTTATAAAAGAAGGCTTTAAGCTGCCTATGAAAGCTTTACCTGAGAAAAAAAGTTAAAAAAAAAATAAGTCTGCGCAAGAAAATCGTATTTGTGTTTTGAAAGAAATTAGAAAATTATTTGTCAAGGGGTGTATCAGAGAGGTTACAACTGCTTCACATGTAGTTAATACTTTAACCGTTGCTTTTAGCTGGTCCGGGAAGCCGGTATTAGATTGTAGATACGTGAATCTTGATTTGTTCAAATATAAGTGTACATTTGAAGATACTGATTATTGTCTGTTCACATTTGTTTTAAAGTCCGCGTACCACCATATTGAGATATTAAGAAACCATCGACAATTTTAAAGTTTTCATGGGAAGAAGATGGTATAAAAACATTTTACATATTTAATGTATTGCCTTTTGGTAAATGTGTAGCAGGGTATATCTTTACAAAAGTATTAAGGGAAGTTCTTAAGCATTGGCGCTCTATGGGCCATAGGATTGTACTTTTTCTAGATGATGGTATGAGAGGGGACGTTTCCTTTGAAAAATCTTCTGTTTTGAGTGATTTTATTAGAAATGACTTGCAGGCATTTGTGATTATTGGCACACGATAAATGTTTTTGGGAACCTTCACAAACTGTCGTTAGGCTTGGTTTTGTTTTGGATACATATTTACGCAACATTTACATTTGTTACAGATGTAAGAATAAAACGTTTTGAGATTTTGTTATGTTCCATTATTAAGAATGTGACTGAGGGTACAACTTTGATTCATGCATGAAAGTTGGCGTGTCTCATTGGCCAGTTAATGTCTATGAAAAGTGTTGTAGGACAGATAGTGAACTTAGGTCACGTGCTATGTATGCATGTTTGATTCAAATGGCGAGCTTGAATGCTCTAGTTTCTATAAATGCTAATGCTTTTTCAGAAATTTTGTTCTGGAATGAACATATTAAAAAAATGAATTTTGTATATACGAGAGTACAGTGTTCACCGATGCAAGTGACGTCGGTTTTGAGGGCTATATAGAGGATGTGACCGATATCGAGGTTACCGGAGGTTGGTATGAGTTCGAGAGTATGACTAGCTCCACGTGGAGAGAACTTGGGAGTGTAAACAGGATGCTATTAAGTAATCTTAATGGTCTAAAGGGGAAATCTGTTATATGGAAGACTGATGATAAAAACGTACCGGTTATTCTCAGTACTTGTAGTTCTAAAATTCTGGAAACAAAGTGATCCCTCGGAAGCACTAATCACAACAAAATAACATAAGAATTGCAGACTAAGCCGCATTTGCAAGAAATTGCCTTGAATGTAGATGAAACTTGCAGAAGAAGTGAAATCAGTTTACTGCCTGAATGGGTACCTAGGTCGATAAATACTGAGGCAGATTATTGAGCTGGTGCTGTGATTGCAATGACTGGGCGGTGCTTGATTGGATATTTTTGCACTTGAACAGAAATGGGTGAACCACTCTATAGATAAGTGTGCTTGCGACTTTAATACGAAGTGTCATTCTTACCATGAATAATCATTATTTTCTAAGATATATTACATACACCTAGGCTTATCATTAAATGCATAGAAAAAGCTATTTCAGATAGGTGTACTTGTATGCTGATTGTTCCCATTTGGAGATCTGCAAATTTTTGGCCGTTAATATTTCCGAACGGAAAAGATTATGCTTCCTTTATAAAGACAGTTTTCAGTTTAAACCTGGTGTGGTGAATAGGCGTGTTAGGGGTAGGAACGGTATTTTTGATGGGATGCCTTTAAATTTTGGGTTGATGGCTTTAAGAATAGAATAAGGTGTTTAATTTCGTTTAATTTGTCAGGTTTAAAATAGAAAAGGCTATCATCGACAACATAAATGAGACAGGTGTTTCTGCAGAAGGTTTTGGTGATTTACCTCGTAAAATGGCTAAACAATTATCGAATTCCCGTAGTGATAACACAAACGTTAAATATTTGTCGCATTGTACAAAGTGGTAATATTTCATAAAGGAAAAGGAAGGAAACTCTGTACCTGCGTCATCTATACACAAAGCCTTATATTTAACTGACCTTTTAGATAAAAATAATTCGGTTAGTGTTCTTTCAGCGACTGTTTATAGCATTAAATGGGCACATGGTTTAAAGGGACTTTCGGATGCCACGGACAATTTGTTTGTTAAAAATTTATTAGAATCTGCGTAACACTTATTATAAAGTGCACATGCTGTGGGATTTTCTGGTCCAGGTAAATACTTGTTCTAAGGTTACATTATGGTCTGTTTTTGCATTTGAAGTGAATAAAAATATACTTTAAGAAATTCACTTTTTCAATGGCGATTAAACAAATTGGGTGATGTTTAATAACTGTTTTAAAAAGCACATGGAAAATCACATAAACTTATAAGTGTGTCGATTAAGTTATCTGTAAATACAATCGGGCAATACGATTAAATACGTTTGTAGTCAGGGACCGGGTTAAGTATATCTGGTGCATCAGTCAGAGTATATCATACATAATAATAAAACACGTCACCGGGTTCAGTATATCTGGTGCATCAGTCAGAGTATATCATATAGAGTATATATCATATATGATAATGAAACATTACAGATCCCATATAAACTGACTTTATGCTTCTTTTTATTGACAGGTTTACAGATTATGATATACAACATATAGTCGTTTAACATGATACAAGAGTTCTCATTGTCAGGATCTATCTGGACAACATGTTTTGTTGCTATAGTTACTGGTTTTGTTGTGTATTGGATGAAACAGAAATGGAAATACAAATACCCGCCGGGACCTCTAGCATTGCCGCTAATTGGAAATATGTTGCGTAAGTAACTTTCGCGAATGAATAGAACCAAGCCACAATGTATCTGTACAGATTAGTTGAAGCAACATTGATTTGGTCTTTAAGAAATCTAATAAAATGCTTCAGGTTTGATTGAACTTCTTAAGTTTTTACATATTTTTAAAACTTGATAATTCCAGTCCTTAAAAATGTACCGGAAGGATTCAAATAGATATCTGCTTAAATATAAACTTATTGTTTTTATTCTCTTGTAGAAATTGACAGAAAGAAAATGCATGAACAAGCGTTTGAGTGGTCAAAGAAATATGGGCCACTCGTTACAGTTAGATTAGGTATGTACAACTGTTAATTTCACACCAAGTATAAACTTTTTTCCACGATCCGTAGATTGTTATTCAGAAATTCACTACGTACATTGTATTAGAAAGGATATATTTACACTCTGAATTTGTTTAGGTTCCGGTTAACAAGGCGGTCAGTAACATATTTATCGTATGGCGTATCCATTATATAAATGTCTTACAAAAAATAACGTTGCCTTTGCCTTTTTAGCTTACCAGAACCGAAGGCTGAGGGTGAGCTATTAGTATCAAATGGGGATGCTCCGGCGTAGTCAAGTTTGCTCATATGAATTTGAGTAGTCAAGTTTGCTCACCTGAATTTAATTGGCCCCTTTTAGGGGCCGCTAACGCTGAAAAAAAATCTTTAAACGTCTATTTCAGCAGAAATAATGAAAGGATGATCACCAAACTTTGCCTGTAGCATTCTGGGTAGTTTTTTTATCACGTTTGCTAATATTATTTTGATTGGCCCCTTTTATGGGTATCTAGGACTAAAAATAGAAAAACCATTAAACACCTACTTCTAAAGAACTAATTAATTGATGGTCACCAAACTTGGTCTGTAGCATTCTTGGGTAGTGTTTAATCAAGCTCATATTTATTTGATTGGCCCCTTTTAGGGACCGCTAAAGCTAAAAATAGAAATACCGTTTAATATCTATTTCTAGAGAACTAATTGATGGATGATCACCAAACTTTGTCTGTAGCATTATTTGGTAGTCTTTTATCAAGTTTGCTCATATTATTTTGATTGGCCCCTTTTACAGGTCTCTAGAGATAAAAATAAAAAACCTTTAAACATCTTCTCCTGCAGAACTAATTGATGGATGATCACCAAACTTTGTCTGTAGCTTTCTTGGGTAGTGTTTTATCAAGTTTGCTCATATTAATTTGATTGGCCTCTTTAAGGGATCGCAAAAGCTAAAAATAGAAATACCTTTAAATGTCTATTTCTAATGAACTAATTGAAGGATGATCACCAAACTTTGTCTGGAGCATTCTTGGGTAGCCTTTTATCCAGTTTGCTCATATTATTTTGATTGGCAGCTTTTAGGGGTCGCAAAAGCTAAAAATAGAAGAACCTTTAAATGTCTTTTTCTACAGAACTAATTGATGGAAAATCACCAAACTTTGTCTGTAACATTCTTGGGTAGACTTTTATCAAATTTTCACATATTCATTTGATTAGCCCCTTTTAGGGGTCTCTATAGCAGTCTTGGGTATTCTTTTACTTACTTTGAAGTAGTCTTTAATCAAGTTTGCCCATACTATTTTGATTGGCCCCTTTAAGGGGCTGCTAAAATTAAAAATAAATATTCATTTAAACGTCTATTGCTATAGAGCTAATTGATGGATGATCACCAAACTTTGTCTGTAGCATTATTGGGTAGTCTTTTATTAAGTTTGCTCATGTTATTTTAATTAGCCCCTTTTTGGGGCCGCTTAAATTAAAAAAAGAGATACGTTTAAACATTTACTCCTACAGAACTAATTAATGGATGATCACCAAACTTTGTCTGTAGCATTTTAAGGTAATCTTTTATCAGGTTTGCTCATATAAATTTGTTTAAACATATTCTATGCTCAAGTTTAATATTAGAATATATTGACATTCGAACACTGTAAAGCAGTTGTTTCTTGTGAGCGACTCATTGCCATCATGGCCCTCTTGTTTTATTTTGTAACCATTCTTAACAGATCTGATGCTTATATCAAAACCTTCGTTTCTAAGCGAGGATATTGTTGACAGTCAAATTTCTACCATTGCTAACTTCAAAGTCCATGTTGATGACTTAAAGTTCCTACAATGTTCCAAAATGACATAAACATCCATATAACATATAAAGCCCGTTTCATTGTTAACTCTGCTTCGTATACTACCAGTAATCCTTTTATAATTATATTGACTTTTTATCTAACTGCCATTAAGTACATGTCATAACATATTGTGAATCAGACCATGAAAGTACGGGTAAATGTCTTCTTGTCTTTTTTAAATCTCAGTGAAATTTAAGATATATTTATCAAGCTTCATCCGTTGGTACTTACGACTTATCAACGTTATATATTACATTACCACAAAAACTTATCAATGATACATTATTATCTCAAATTCAAAAACAAAATTGCAACAACAGAATGTTTTTCATGCTTGTAACCCAAGATTTCTTTACCGATTGCTTCATTACAAGCATGTACAATGTGAACCTGTTATGAAGCTTGTAAAACTTCTTTTTATAGGATAGCATTTATGTTTTTTGGTAAAACAGTTTAAAAACAGACGGGCTGTCTGGAGAAATAACTGCCGTGATGTTATTTAATCTAAGGAAAGATTTAGTAATAAATACTAGAACCAATTGCCTGTTGTTGTAGCTGGATTGTGTAAGGGGCTGCTTTCTGTGAACATCGCCTTTTCCTTGTTGATCTTTGTTTTCATTTTGTCATACTAATGTAAATTGTATAATTTTAGTGTTCTTTTATTTGCTTAACGAATTTTTTGTGAAAGAGACCTACAAATCTTTCCTGTTTTTTTTTTCATATTCTTTTTAACAATTTATCTATAAACAAAGAGGTACGGCTCATTGAATGTTCACAAAATATGTATTTGATGGTAGAAAACATTTATCCTAAGTCAGAAATGAATTCTAAGTCCATTCCCATTACAATATATATACTAATATATAGACAAGGGTAACAACTCCCATAAGAAGACGTCTATGCCCAATCAGGGTTTTTTGCCTCGCAGTTTTTTACACGATACAGTATAAATAAAAAGGAGTTATGCAATTTGTAGTCGAATGATTTATCTATCGAACCAATGTAAAACTTTTCTTATATCTCTTATACTTTACGAGTACTGGCCGTCAAAGTAACAAAAAACTGTTCATTTTCGCGAGGTCGACATCGATCGTGGCTACGCAGGAAACACAAAGTTAAACGACTGTTGCAATCGTTGGTGATAATATCACAAGCATTTATCATGCTGGGCAATTAAAAATACATAAAAGTAGATAAAATTAATCAAAATATACCAATAACCTATTATGACAATGTGATATAAACTCACCTGCGGCTTAAAAATATTTCCCCGTTGAAATTTCTATAAAACACCGCCATCTTGACGAATATAAACAACCGTCATCTGATTGGTCGTTTTTTTTACGGAAATTTACGGGTATATTTTCGGGAAATAAATCGACCAATCAGATGACGCTTGTTACATTCGTCAAGATGGCGGTGTTTTATAGAATTTTCAACGGGGAAATATTTTGAAGCCGCAGGTGAGTTTATATCACATTGTCATAATAGGTTATTGGTATATTTTGATTAATTTTATCTATTTTTAATTGCCCAGCATGATAAATGCTTGTGATATTATCTCCAACGATTGCAACAGTCGTGTAACTTTGTGTTTCCTGGGTAACCACTATCGATGTCGACCTCGCGAAAATGAACAGTATTTTGTTACTTTGACGGTCAGTACTCGTCAAGTATAAGAGATATAAAAAAAGTTTTACATTGGTTCCATAGATAAATCATTCGACTACAAATTGCATAATTCCTTTTTATTTATGCTGTATCGTGTAAAACACTGCGAGGCAAAAACCCTGATTGTGCATAGACACCTTCTTATGGGAGTTGTTACCCTTGTCTATATATTGGTATATAGTGTAATGGGAAAGGACTTAGAATACTTTTCTGACCTATCATAAATGTTTTCTACCATCACATACATATTTTGTGAACATTCAATGAGCCGTACCCCTTTGTCTATAAATGCTTTCAATGGCATGTTTATGTTGTTAAGAACAGTATTCTTTAGGATGGATTTTAATGAATCAGAATGAAAAATAATTAAATTGTGTACTAAGCATACAAGTTTTTATGCGGAATAGATAATAGCAATTAGAAAAACATATAAAAAATAATGAAGTGCTCTTTTTTGTTTTTGTTTTTTGTTTGTTTGTTTCCACACTAGATTCTCTGTAGAATATGTTCTTGTTATCAAATTATATACATTGCAGGAACCTTTCAGTTGGTCTTTGTTAACTCAATAGATCCTGCGTTGGAGGTATTGGTCAAGAAGTCAACAGACTTTGCTTCGAGAGTACTTACTCCATCTAGTAAGTGGAATTAAAGTCGTATTTATTGTTTGTGTGTCCTCCAAATTGCTGTGGTAATATTTCTCCTGAACTGAAAGAGCGAAACTATCAAAAGTAAATGCTACTTTTCATATAAAAAGTGACTAACTACAGTTTATACATGTATGTAAGTCAAATATTTCATTGATCGAAACGACCTACATTCTAACACAGAGGCACAAACTAGATAATTATTTATCGTTCTTTTACAACCACTTTGTTTTAAGCCTCCTATAATTTGCATTTTTATCCTTAGTAGAGTTGTGACGATAACGGACTCATCTACTGTTGTTGGTTATAAAAGTTGGCCTTATATTTTAAATGTATTTTTGCAATTGTTACAATGCATGCCCTTGCCTTATCATTGTATTGTTTTTTAAAGTTGGTATTTTATCTTACGGTGGGAAAGACATTGGTTTTAGTAACTATGGACCAACGTGGAAATTACACAGAAAAATTGCATCGAAGGCTTTACGGTAAGTTATGCATGTACTACATCCTTATCATAAAAAATCTCATGTCCAATTTCACAAGGCAATTGTTTATTGTTTTAATTGTTGTTAGCCTTTGTCACAAATATCAAGGTTCATATGCTGAGCGAATTAAAAGTAAAATTGTGTTTATACGTGAAGACTATAAATCCTTTTGGATATAATCTTTATACTACCTTCTGTGACAAAACAATAAAATTGCATGTCATCTTCATATCTTATTCCATTTTAGAATTTTTTTTTTAATTCGTAGATGAGATTAGCAGACCAAACATGATTACTGCATCACCAGAGAAATAATATAAACATGATTCTGTTTACATTCAATAATAGGAAATATATGCAAGAAGACGCGTTAGAACACAGAATAGTTGACGCTATGAAGACGGCCTTTGTTGAAATTGATAAAATTACCGGCCAGTTTGATCCAGGACAGTACATAAACTTTATAATTCTTAACATTCTTACAGGTCTTTGCTTTGGCGGAAAGTATGTATAAGATTTTACTTTTTTCTTGAAAGTTGAACGTTTTGTCTAAATATTTTTAAGAAGACTTTGAACCATTTGTCGCACACCGCTTTGGTTACGGTTTTTGCATTGTTGTAAAGTTATCTTACGGAGAAATGTTGTTTCTTTTCGCAGCCATCTAGTTCGTTTCTGAAATGATAAAAAGATAACTTCTTAAATAAGCTACGACAAACCACCAAAACATGACCGTTACAATTGTCAGTTGTCTTAAATATATTAACTGACTGCTTTTTGAAATATCCAGTTGTCATATTTAACTTGATAAATGGATTTGATTAATATTTAATGGAGTGCAAAAAGAGAAACCAATAATAATTCCTTGTGTTCTTTGTGTGCTCATAATTATGTTTACTTCTTCTGAAAGGTACGATTTCAAAGATGAAGAGGTTAGCTATATAATAAAAACCAAAGATGATGTAAACGAAAAGCTGGCATTGATGATTTTGGAAGACTTTGTGCCTGTACTAACATATGTGTATAAATCGCAGGCCTTTAAAGAGTTGGAGGCTTCTGTTCATCAAATGATCGAAGGTTTTATACGGAGAAAATTCAAGGAAGCAGAATCTACGTTTAAGAAAGGTGTGTACACATTGACTTTAAATCGATTGGTTAATTCAATCATTTTATATAGTGTAAACGTTTATTTGGATAGGAAAATCTTGAGTTGTTATTGTCATACCGGTATATCATATCTTACACTTATTAACATGGAAAGCAAGTTATTTCCCATAGTTTTGATTTTTGATATGTACGTGAATATAGAAAACAGAATATGTACCACTAGTATTTGCTACAAAATAGCAAATGGTTTGGGTCTATTGAAATTTGGCAGTGAGAACGTTCCGTGTTTGTGTATACTTTCAATGGAATATTTCAAAAATGAATACTTGTAAAAGATATAAATAACAATTCTTTAACGTATTTAGAATGTTGAAACATGGCTACAACATAATTTGTATAGGAGGGAATTTCAATAAAATGGAGTGGGGAATGACAATTAATATTCAAGACAAATGAGAGACCGCAGGTTTTTTCCTAATACTATTTAGTATCCTTACACTATTTGGACAGAAATATCACTGCGTAGACACTTAAATAAGTTGTTCAAGTATAAGTTTATTATAAGTTATTATAAAGAAATATTCTGCCTATTAAATGTGGCATTTCAGTATGGTTATTCCAAGAAAAGTTTGGACATTTCTCTAACGATTGCGTCCGTGTCAGTGAATCATTTTTAAGTTTGTGCATAATGTAAGCTTCAAAATGTACCGACCGTATAATCTCGAGGCCATCTGTGCATTTATATTTCCATTGTCTCAACTTTGATGATTCTCTGACTGATAACAATATTATCTTTTCTCGAGAAAGTTATGTATACACACTATCAAGTATTTACTTAAAATTTCCCATATCGTTTGTAAACCAGCAGTCAAGACAAAGAATCAAGCCTTTCGTGTTCCTTAAATTACAACTCAATGTTGTTTTCTTTATTCATTTCGTTTTACAGGGACCTTGTTAATTCTCAGTCTTTGAAAACAGTGCATAAAAAACACTTTTGTTATCCACAATCATGTTTGTTTGTTTGGTTTTACGGTAAACCAATACAGTATAGGTCATATTGTGCGAAACAGAAAAGATGTTTACGGCTAATTTCGGGTGTTATAAACTTTAAAGCAACACCTGGGTCATGAAAACCTCACCTGCCGGAGCTAGGAGATGCTTAGACCCCAGTTATTCGCCGCTTACAATCATGCAGGGGTAAACGGTGGTTGCTTTTCACATGTACTTTCCATTGAAGACAACCCCTCAGCCACAAAGGGTCCACAATCATGTTAATACATGTAAATGATTTCATTGCGAAAGAAAATGTGACAAAGTCAGTGAAATACTACACATTTTAGGTTTGAATACGCATCGCAATAACGATATCTTTTGCTAAACTCACAATTCAAAATATAAAAACATGTGAAATTGCCTTAAAATCAAATGTTAAAATTATGAACAACCTTTTTGAGATAGTTTGAATATGCAATTGATAGATGACATCCGACATTTTGCGGACCATTTGATTCTTGCTCGTATGGAGGCGGAAGAAGAGGAGGGTAAGGATGAGCTCGTTGGACTTGATGAAGATCACCTTATCCAAACCATTGCTGACATATTTTATGGTAAGATTTATTTCAGCATTTTCATTTCAAGAAACTCTATTGTGATTCGAAAGTCTTAAAATCAATCAATATAAAATGTGGCATTCTTAGTACACATACCAATTGGGACTTTCAAAACGGAAACATATACAAAAGATAATTATGATATATACTCAGAATTTAAAACATGTCTTAATCCGATTTAAGTTCAAAATGTTAGAATCCTTTTATTACTAGCAGTGCCCAAATGGTGTGCTTAGAAGCACGTGAAATGTAATTCTTCTCTGATTGTTTACAGGTTAAACAACAACTTAGCGCATTGCCCGCGAGTTTTCTCCTATTCATCTATCAGGAAGTCGGGAATCCATCTTGGACATATTTTTTTAGTCATACTACGTTTGAGAATAGTATGAGCTGCTTCTAATGAGATGCAAACAAGACTAGATATTTGCCTGATGGTGTATCTTGCATCGACCTAAACTATTTCTTTTACTTTAGTAAACGTCTTGACAAAGGTTGCTTTTTGAAATCCAAAGAATATTGATGAAAATACATTTCATTTTATCCGTATACATCAAAACTGTCTTCACCATATGCCAAGGAGGCAATAATCCTTAATATAAGACCTTTTCCAATGTCATACCCCGATCTTTTATACAAGAAAAATGTTAACTACAGTATACGAGTAGACAATATGTAGCGAGCTAAATCACAGTGAACAGATTAAAATAAATGTGGTATCAGTTGAAAGCTTACATATATCTATCTATCCGATAACCTTCATGTCATCGTGTTTTTCACAATATTGGATAATATCACGTTCTGTGTGCAAATACATTTGAACACTCCTCGTAAAGAGTAATTTTGTACATTTAAATGTGTACCATGAAATAAAAAAAACCGAGTGAGAAATTTTGCATTTGGACCTTCAACAAATGGTAATAAATCTCGAAAATGTATTTCTATCTAATAACCTCGGTGGTGTCTCTTTAAGCTCTGTATTCTGACATAGAAAGTTTAATTGGGAATAGTTTTATACATTTTTGTACATAGTGTCAACATACATAAATTTGATTTCAACGTAAGAATGTCGATTGTCCCTTAGTATCAATCATAAAGTTAAATGTATTAATTAGCCACGGTTATAATCTGAAATAAATATCCCGAATATTGTATTTTTTTAATTAAGATTACTGTTGATAGGTACCATGCATTTTAGAATACAGGTTTCCATGGTTGAAATTAGATGGTTCTCTATTATGTATGGACTGTTTCTTTGATTACCTGCACGTATCGTGTTATTGTCACAACACTCAAAGTCGGCGTTTGTTAATCTTTTTTCCTTGTAGAAAACTATAAAGACTATTGACTCATGAAAAGGACACCAATTCAAAAATGACAAGCAATCCTAAAATTATGTGAGCAAAGTTATGTTCATTTTATGCTTAAGTTATGAGCATCCTAATGCATTACCTCCGATTTGAAGAGTTTTGCTAGGCTGAATTAACCACATTGAAACTGTGGGTAGTGGGGTTCAAACGCCAATAGTGTCAACTTCATTCCTCACTTGAATACTTTTTTATCTCCCTTAGGATATGTGGACTGCTTTTAAATTTGTCTTTTGACGTATTATATGTGATATGCAGGCTTCAAAACTTCTGATCCCCTTTCAAAATTCCTTTTTATTTAGTTCCGCCCATTGTTTTCTCGTTTCAGGTACACAAAATTTTGTTTTACTTGGGGACCATATACCGCTTTTCATGGGATGGCACTTACGTGTCACATTGAAGGTTCCATGATAACCGCTATATGAACACATCTGCGGATGTTTCAAAATTCCAAATTGTACCAGTTCGTGTTAAATGTTGAATTCTGCTTAAGCCGGTGCTTGAAGGCGTGGACGGTAGTTTGCACTTGACAGTACCGTCAATGAACAGGCTCAATCAAACCGAGCCTGCAACATTTTCAATTTTGACGTGTTTGGCTTTCTTTAGGGATTCATATTGTCTCTATTTTATGTTTTTTTTCTTTTTCTTTGTATATTTCCGATACCTGTTTGAAAGAAAAAAGTATTTGATTTTAATTGCATGATAATTGTAATAAATAATTATTAACTAAATAATGCTAGATTTATTTTAAGACTTGATATTTTCAAACCGTAATCCGTGCAATCTTTCTAGGGAAGCCAAACACTGTGGCAGAATAATGCCCATTTTCTATGTTGCTTTTATACTTTCCAGTACTGAAAAATGTGAATCATGCTATCTGTGGGCAGGTCTTGTTTTATTTGTGTTTAACATCAGTTTAATCAAGAATTCAGTGAATGATTTTCTTTTTAAATCTTGTATCTAAAATGGATGAAATTATTTCATTTTAGCTGGCACAGATACATCCCGATTTACGCTACAGTATGCCCTCTTATACATGGTGGCATTTCCTGATATACAAGAAAAGGTTCAAGAGGAGATAGATAACGTTGTTGGTAAGTTAATACACTATCAAAATAAACACTACCTCAGGAGTTTAGACTTCAAGATAATGTTTTTCGATATTTTAAGTGAAATACCATTTAGATTTTAATGTCTACGTACCTTGGTACTGGAGGTGTAAACTTTAACTGACAATTCTAACTATTATGAAGATCATCAACTGAGTAAAATCTTCCAATTTGTAGTGATAACCGATCTTTACGGTTCACATTCTGTGATTGTTTAATAGTATCATCAGAATTTGTTAGTACATGTGTAGTTTCAAAAAGCTTCTCGTATACGTAAATTCAGTTACAATTGTTATATTCTCGTTAAGGGAAGAAACATTAAGGGCAGAAACATTATATAACATTTGGAGTCGATACTCACCTTATCACGGAATTTCACGTGTGTAACAAGTGACGGTTCCATTATCGTCGCCGTATGAATACATTCTGAATATTTCTTTTACATTTAACATATTTTACATGTTTTAAATGGTGAATTGTCTTGAAATAAATCTTTATATCTTGCAAAACTAAACTGGATGTACATTTTCCCGTAAGTTAGAATTTGTCATTAGTTGATAAAATGGTAGCTTTTATTTTATATACACTTCTGAGGCAAAATGAGTCTAAATGTGAACATTTCTACCATTTACTTTTTAAAAATGATAATAGTTTATATATCCACAGAAATAATTATATTTTGTAGGAAGTTTGAGATTTTAGTTGCATAAATGTCACATATTTGCCTTTTAAACAACATTATGGTGCACAAATGTTACATTGTTTAGGGAAAGACAGATTACCAGGAATTGCAGACCGCCCTAATCTTAGTTACACGGAAGCTGTTTTACATGAAAGTATGCGACTTGCAAGCATTAATCCAACTGGACTTTTTCATCAAGCTTCTTGTGATTCAGAAGTATGTAAGTAATATGGTTAATTGCAGTTTCACAATGTGGCTAACAATGATCGCTTGCAGCATGAGTTCAAACCCTGTCAGGGGCAAGTCGTTGTTTCATTGAGCAAGAAACTTTACACACATTGCTCAGTACTAGTTGGTTCCAGGAACGGATTCGAAAGTGTGTCTTTAAGCTTATAGATTCCTACACAATCGAACTAAAATAAATTGTGTACATAAACCAATGGGACCTTCTTATGCTTTTATATTGTACTAGGGGCAAATTTGAATTAAATAAATATCATCGTATTCTATTTAGTCTGACCATATTCACTAATAGTGCAAAATTTGCAAAAGAAAATCAAAACAGTGTTAATGTTATCATTTTATTATTTTCAAGTATTGTCTAGTGCCTTTATATATCCATCACCAATTTGTGAAGTGTTTATTATGTATAAGGCTTCTATTTCTAGTGTAAAAATTCAACCCGAACAAATAACCGGCAAAGTAAATGTTCGATAGTGCAATTAGTACATTAATACAAAGCATAATCATTCATCTTCTTTGATTAAAACATTATCCATCCTGAATCGCACAGTATGATTGTACATGAATCCATTATTCATTTAGCCGGATACAGAATTCCAAAAGGCACAAACATCGCTATCAATTTCTGGGCGCTTCACCATGATCCAAGCGCCTGGGATGACGTTGATCGATTTATTCCAGAAAGATATCTAGGTGAAGATGGAAAACTTGGACCTAAGCCAAAAAACTGGCTGCCATTTTCGGCGGGAACAAGGGCGTGCCTTGGAGAGTTTGTAGCAAAACCCAAAGTACATTTAATCTTTGCAAGTTTAATGCAACGCTACAAATGGAAAATGGAGTCTGGAATATGTCCAGACATCACTCCTGTTGGCACATTTATGCTGTTAACTTGTAAGCCACAAAAGGTCATTGTTGAGAAGAGAGTTTAACATTTTTAAGATATGCGAATTAAGAATCAAATTAATTTGAAAAGAAAAACATTAGTGACATGCAATTGTACATAACACATGTTTGTATTTCATGAAATCCTATTAAAGTACGAGGCTCGTGGTGTTTTATAAACATTTCGTTGGATATATTCAGGTAATATAATTTCTTGGTTAAAAAATGGAACGTTTCTACATTAACTCTTTTAAAGTTTTGAAATGTGGCGTGATTATTATGAGCACCATATGTGAGAGAAACCTCTATAGAACAGTATGCATTATTAAACACTTTCCTAATAAATGCTGCTTGTTGTTACTGTTGTTGTTGTTGTTGTTGTTGATGATGATGATGCTGTTGTTATTATTCTACCTATCTGACAATATCATGATTACTGCATTTTTCTTTAAAATGGGACATAACTGGGAAAAAAAATGTTTATCATTTGCATAAGCAACTATAGAACAAAATCTTCCGCATAGAATGTCAGAGCATTTCGCGCTACAACATGCAATGAAGTGAGCATGCATATTTTTAATCAAATGAAGTGTTGCTTCTGCCTTTTTGAGCTATTTGCTCCTGAAAATGACATAACAGTAGCATTGCGACCCTGATGTTACTTAAGTATGTTCCAATTAATTATTTGCTTTAATCCTGCAGGTTTAAAAGCCTCTCCTGGTCAGTAAAAATTTTCCTTTTTCATTCTTGTAAACATGGCATTACTGAACAATCTTTCAGTAAATGTCGGTGAATGCAATTTATACATACTAGCATAAAATGAAGAACTGTAATTAGGAAAAAAATTTAGTGCTGAGATACAATTACCAAACAAATTAAATGAATCCGCGTAGACATAAAAGAAGGAAACAAATTGCTTTAATAAGTCCACTTATCTGTAAAGTGCTTACAAGCCCCTGATCTGACAAAAATGCAATAATATTAAACTATGTCACATTAAATGGCTGTGTTTTATACAAATATTGACTGTAATACAAAGGCGTAAAATATTTGAAAAATGAACAAAAATGTATTTTATTTTAGAATGATTTATTATTTTACTTAATCAAATAACTTTTTATTTTGTTTCCATCAAATTATTTTAATTCTTAGTGTATACCTTTCATTGACTATACCTACATTAAATAATCTTCTTGTAATCGAACTTAAAAAAGACACATCGAAATACATAGAATCATATGATTTTGTAAAGGTTGAAGGAGCTATGTAACGCCGCATTAAGCACTCAACAAATATAGGGTCCTGTGAGCTTTATGTGTTGACATCTTACTGGCCTTGTAGCGTTTATAGCTCCCAACAAAGTGAAGCTGTATATATCAAGTGTCCCGTTTTAATGGATAGAGCTCTCCAAGGATAAGAATGTCATGTATATTTTTGTTTATGATTGTGTTTTTACGTATAACACAAAGGGCGTTATGTTATTTTCATATTTTGTATCATCATCATCATCATCATCACCATCTTCGTCATTTTATTCATAAGTCATTGATAATCGTCATCAACAACAAGATGAGGGCGATGAAAATGTTGAAGGTTTAGATGTGATGGTGATGATGGTGGTAAAAGTAATAATAATTTCAAATATGGTTGTGATGGTACTGCTGCTGCTGCTGCTGCTGATGATGATGATGATGATGATGATGATGATGATGTTGTTGTTGTTGATCATAATGAAGATGATGACGATGACGACGAGGATATTGTTGTTGTTGTTGTTGATGATGATGATTATGATTATGATGATGATGAAAAATTGGGAAGGGCTCATTTACAATTGAAATATTTGGAAAATGATGAAATAGAAAACAAGAATTAAAACAACTCTTTTACAAACCTAAATGAATAATTCCACTGCAAGTAAACCTATTCGGTATTATCCTCTTAACTTTACAATGTTGTGAACCAGTCGCGCAAATGTTTGCATTAATGCATTTGAAACGTCAATTTGACAATTTATATTGCGGAACTGCTTTACAAGCTCTCTACAAGTCACACGGCCTTGCTGTAAACTGGTGCGTTACTTCACAAGCCTACACCAGAAAAAAATAGTTTATTCAATTCACATATACTCGTGTCTTTAAAACTATTTGAATAAAAAACTTCAAGAGTATAATATTACTTCAAGCGCCATCATTTATGCCAATTTTTACCTTGATATAAATAAACTTTTGCCATAAAATGAAATCAACGTGTAGGCATTTTGACACAACAGAGAGCAAAATTAGGATACCGGCATACCATCATTTTATGACTTTTAAGGAATTAAAATGTTAAAACTTTGTATAAATGCTGACTGTATATCTCTTTACAAAGTATCATCCGGATACAATATGATTTGATTAAATAAAGCCAATTAGCATACATGTACATGTTATCTCACTAAATTCTTAGTAATAAATATAACTAGTGTGCACGTTTTGCAAAAAGAAAAATAGGTAAAACGAAAAATATATTTAAAAGCACAAAAACATTTACTGCTATAACATGTCGTTTTTGGTTAAAGTAAAACTATTTTAGTCAATTTATTGTTATATTCCCTTTTGGTTCTCAGTATATTTGATTCAAGTCCTTAATACAAGTAAATTCTTAAAAAAAAATCCGTTTGCACCAAGAAAATGTCGCAGGAGTCTTGTCCTTAAGTATAGTATTTAGAATATTATTTAGAATATTATTTTCTCAAAGTCAATTCATAGTTATATTTACTTGACCTTATATTACATGCATGCATTAACATAAATTGTGCCTATGCACTACTTACTTGTGTATCTTTTACACGCGAGCTTCCAATAACACAAATTAAAGTAAAATATTCATATAGAGTAAAGATTACTAAGTATAATGTATTGATATAAAATATTTTGACAGGTAATACGGCTCATTTATTCCTATATTGCTATATAAAGTAACATAATATAGGGTATTTCAAGGCCGTTATGATAAGATCTAGATCATTATTCAATAGCGTCTGCCTTTCACTACATTTTGTTCCATAATTGAGGCGAGTGAATGAGTGCATGCAAAATGACGTCTTCAATCTCTGCAGTGTCTTTCAAGATGGCTGCTGTCGTTGATGAGATGTAGTCGCTTGCACACAATTTTTAAAGTTTTGATGATATAACCAATCCCGTCAAAAAAGCTTAACATTGAATACCTATAAACTCAAGAATTAGATTCAATAAATTGCCAAAGCCAAATTGTGACCTAAAAAATTCCTTAAATTAATTCTTATTGATAGTACTGATGTGTAAACATGAAAACTACAGAAATGTTAAGGCATATTTAAAAATAAAGAAATTGTCATGTATAAATGTAGATCTAGGGCTTCATTTTCAAAAACATATGACAATTTGCAGCAATGGAAAAGAAAACTAGAACCATCAACAAAACAGAAAAAAGATCTAAATTCTTATTTTCTCTATTTGATAACATCAAATTAGTTCTTGAAAGTACTCAAGTGAATAAAATACTAGCCGCTAATCATTGATCTCACAAATTAAGAACACTTCAATATAAACAGCAATGGCACAACATTGTTCATCTTTATTTTGTGTTATAGTTTCTTAACTAAGGTTTCTTAGCTAACTGCAGGATACTAGCTAGTTTGTTATTACTGAATCATACAAAGTATTTGTTTACATTGACAACTGTCCGTTTCTTAGCTGGGGCGACAACCAAGATAGCGGCGATGAGTAAATGCCGTATTCTCGGACGTTAATAAGTGCTTGCTGTTCGCCATTATGCGAATTTAAAATGCTTTGAGATTATTATAGACATCTTCGGAACATTATTACAACGAAAACTGTAATAAAGCAAAATATTTATTCAACGAAGTAAATACTACACAATTATTTCCTTACATAGAAATAGAAATAAATTCAGAATTATGCTCAACCGTCAATATAGAAAAATAATTATAGACATCATATTTATTGTCAAATAATATTCGAGATTACAAATGTACAATGTTAAAAAAATGAAATGATATATATTCAGTGATAACCTATCCTGTATAAAATTATTTAGAATATGGTAAGGGGAATAACATACATATAACTTGTCAATTCGTAATATATATCTATAATATTTGACAATATGTTACTATCAATTATGTATTATTTTCAAAGATGATAGTATTTTATATTTTGCACTTACGTAGCCATTATCTTGAATCGTTCAATTGTAACAGTTATTTTTGTTGATTCGTTCATTGAAAATTACATAATACCACAATGCAACAACACTATTTGCGTAAATATTTTAGGATCCATACTTAACACTTTGTTGAATCATGGCCAAGTATAGTGGTTTGGGTGACACCAGGGATCCTTTGTTTGAGTTCTACCAAGTTTCATATTACGGCATTAGAATTGAGCATGTACAGTGAGCGGTCCTTTTTGTGGTCATACTATATTCTATTTTTCCGTACAATTGAGGAAAAATAATACATTTAAATTATCTAACAAAAACTACATTTTTGTTCTTTTGCACATTTATTACTTTTTTATTAAGCACTCACTGTCATTGTTTTGTAAAACATTAAAATCATTATTATATTAATTTACTGTCAGGCCAAGGACAAGTAAGTTCACCCTTTGTTGATATTATTCATATTTGGAATTAACAGTTCGTTTTCTACTTTTGTAATTGCCCGGACAACAGCAGGTATCAAGTGCTGTGTGGCAGCTGCTGTAAAAAGTTGCCCCGTACTTCACTTCAGTGTTGTTATATTTTTCTGGTCCTTCGGGATCATTGATGCCAGCACTATTAAGTGTTGAGAATTGAGTACCGCTCAAGCCGGTGCTAGGGGGCGTGAGGGATGTTACACTTATTCATTATCCCTCATGTACAGACTCAATCAAACCGAGTCTGCAATTCTCTTGTAATTTTGTTGTGATTAATGCTTCCGAGGGATCACTTTGTTTCCGGATTTCTTTAATTGGTTCCGTACTATAGCCAGTACAAAAGATAGGCTACAAAAATAATAATATAAAGGCACTACATACGTTCTAAACCGCAGTTTAATTGATGCTGGTATGCATCATGTAAGTGCACCATCATTTACTTTAAGACGTTTCCTACAGTAGCGGAAAATTTACAAAAACACAGAAAGAGAATAAAACATTCAAATAAAACATTATTATCCTGACATAATTTGCAAAGTTAAATTCTCTTCTCTATAATGAGCTTGTGTGGTTTACAAACCAAGAGCATAAATGTGCCGACAGGTGTGATGTCTGGACATATTCCAGACTTCATTTTCAATTTGTAACGTTGCATTAAACTCGCAAAGATTAAATGCAGCTCGGGTTTTGCTACAAACTCCCCAAGGCAAGCTCTTGTTCCCGCCGAAAATGGCAGCCAGTTTTTTGGCTTCGGTCCTAGTTTCCCATCCTCACCTAAATATCTTTCCGGAATAAAGCGATCAACGTCACTCCAGGCGCTTGGATCATGGTGTAGCGCCCAATGATTGATGCCTACGTTTGTACCTTTTGGAATTCTATAACCGGCTAAAGAATAATAGATTTATATAAAAATCTAAATAAGAGAGTCCGGATGATGTTTCAATGAAAGAAGGGGTGATTAACAATGATACTTTTTACACTGACGAACATTTACTTTGTCAGTAATTAGTTTGATGTTCATCAAAAACGTTGATATTCTTTCTACTAAGAGAAGCCTTAAACATAATAATAAATTATACTTTTCAAACATTGGCGATAAAAAGATAAAGTTTGGCGATAATTGGAAACAATAATCTTTGCATCTTTATAGATGTTTTGTATTGCAAAATAAAATTGTCACTTAATTAGATCAGACCAAAAAGAATACAAAGACACTTTAACATGTCAGTTTAATTTAGATTTGCCGCTAATACGAAATCATAAGAAGGTCTTAATTTTAACCACATTATGAAAACGCAATAGTCAGACCACTTCGCAAGAAGCTTGGTGAATAAGTCCAGATGGTAGGATGCTTGCTAGTCTCATACTTTCATGTAAAACAGCTTCAGTGTAACTAAGATTAGGACGGTCTGCAACACCTGGTAATCTGTCCCTCCCTACAAGATGTAATAGAATATGTAGTTTAAAATGCATGATACAAACTCCCAATGTAAATGGTGTTTAAACTTTGGAAAGAGATCATCTCGTAGTCTTTACGAATATAATAGTGTTTAATATGGTAATTTATTAACTAACCAACAGCGTTATCTATCTCCTCTTGAACCTTTTCTTGTATAACAGGAAATGCCACCATATGTAACAGGGCATACTGTAGTGTATACCGGGATGTATCTATGCCAGCTAAAATGAAATCATGGATAGTATGATAGCAACATAAAAGAGGCAATACCTCGATAATGGACCTAATTAAAAAAGCTCATTAAATATAAACATGCATGTTTTCAAGCTTCAAAAACTGTAAAATTCTAAAATAAATATTCTTAAATATTCTTAACTATTCTGTAGTTTCAAGCTACAGAATACGTTTCAGGTCAAAATTTGTTACGGTGAAACACCTCGGTTCTGCAATATTCTAAAAGTCTTTTAGTATAATACATAAAAACTATAAAAATGCCTCTAACGCTTGGGCCCGAAGTATGAAACTTTGTATATCCGTTTGAGGTGTATACTGTGAGGGAACAAAGTAAAATATTCAGTGAAACTAATAAAGAATAAAATATTCTATGCATACATATTTGCACAATGAGTATACATGTACTCCTTTCTTATCGTTTGTTTATATTTCTATTTTTTAAGTTTCGTGTGATCTAGGTACCAAAAATATACTTCAATGCTTCTGTACCTCCGTGGAGCTACTTTACTAATAATTATCGAAAATAACTCTTACCGAAGAGCATATCAGCAATCGTTTGGATAAGGTGATCTTCATCAAGTCCGACGAGCGCATCTTTATCCTCCTTATCTTCCGCTTCCATACGAGCGAGAATCAAATGGTCCGCAAAATGTCGGATGTCATCTATTAAATGTATTTTTAATTAAACTATCTCAGAGAGCATTTAAATAATATATAACATTTAACTTAATAGCAGTGTTACATTTTTTTACTTGATCTCTGATTTGAATGTATTTTAACAACTGTCATCAATTTAATATGTGTAGTATTTCATAGAATTCGTCACTAGTTTCCTATGATATCATATGATTCTGGATAAAATAAAGTGTACTGCGTTGATTTAAAAGAGTGAGAATAAACAAAGCCTCTGTATAATTTAATGAAAATGAAAGGAAGAGTTGCTGGTCTTGATTGGTGATTTACAAACAACGTGCAAGTAAGTACTTGATAACTCCAAAAAGGTAATGATAAAAGAAATAAATCAGTGACAAATCAAAAGTGAGTCAATCGAAATAAATATGATTTACAGATGACCTCGAGATTATACGGTAGTGACCTTTTGATTGTTACAATATTTGAAAAGATTTAACAAGCTTTACATTGTCGCAGACGCAATGGTGAGAGAAAATTCAAAACCATTCTTCGAATAGCAATGCTAAAACGGCGTTTTCATAGGCAAAACATTTCTTTATAGTAAGTTAAACTTGAAGAATTTATTTAAGTACCTACACAGTGGTATTTCTGTCCAAATATGCATATCTCATCTGCTTGGAATAGTTATTGTCATACCATACATCTTTTTTTCGAATTTTCACATATACATGATACGCAAATTAATATACATAAAACACGTAGAAGGGAAATTCGCACCGCCCAATTTCTATGAGCTACATATTATTGTCTCTACATTAGCAGACAAATGAAAACTACAGAAATAACTTGTTTTCATATTTAAAATTGTAAAAAAAAATATATGACAATGTTATGCGACCATTTAATGGTTCTTTACAAACCAAGGCTTTTCCTATCGAAATGAATGGAGTGAAATATCGAAAAGAAATGACTGTAAAGCCGAAGTGCACTAACCTTTGTTAAACGTAGATTCTGCTTCCTTGAATTTTCTCCGTATAAAACCTTCAATCAGTTTATGAACGGAAGCCTCAAATTCTTTAAAGGCCTGTGATTTATACACATAAGTTATTGTAGGTACAAAGTCTTCTAAAATTATCGATGATGTCAACCTTTCGTTAATATCGTCTTTAGTTTTTATTACATAGCCAACCTCTTCATCTTTGAAATCGTACCTTTCAGAGAAAATATACATAATTTTGAACACACAAAGAACAAGAGATTTTTTGCTTTCTTGGCACTCCTTTTGACATTCATCAAGTTGAAAATAAACCAAATAGATCATGTTTAATCGCAAACTGTATTTCGATTATTCCGGCGTTCATTTCAAGACGTTCTCATTTCATTATTTTAGGTACTGGATGGCTGCAAAGAAGAAAAAACACTCTTTCGTAAGACTACTTTACAATTATGCACTAAATCTTTGCCTAAACGGGTGGGCGGCACGTAGTTCTAAGTCATTTCGCATATATTTACAAAACTGTCAATTTATACGTACTTTCCGCCAAAGCAAAGACCTGTTAGAATGTTGCACAAAATAAAGTTGATATACTGTTCTGGATCAAACTGGTCCGTAACTTTATCAATTTCAACAAAGACCGTCTTCATAGCGTCAAATATCATGTGTTCTTAGGCGCCTCCTTGCATATATTTCCTATAAATGTAAACACAAACATTTAAGCTCATTCGTCTCACGTAGCAGTGATCATGGCAAGTCTTCTAACCTCATCTAAGAGTCTCAACATTAATTTTTTAAGGGAATACGATATGAAAACGACGTGCAATATTATTGTTTTGTCACAGAAGGTAGTTTAAAGGATTACACATATACATGTAAAGATGAATAGTCACCATTTATTTAATTTTACCTATGAAATATGGTGCTATATCAGTCAAATATATTTCATATTTTTTGAAAATAGGTATGAAATATAAGTATGAAAGTGGGCGGAGTCAAAACTCATATTTATTTTAAGGGACTTCTTTCGCCATTTTGTTTGAAAAATCTGATACATACAAACAACTTTTTTTGTTGAATTTTGTTTTGAAAACTATCTAAAATGATAGAAAATGGTCTAACTAAGAAAATAAATCCGAACACCAACATCTTTAATTCAGTCATTAACGCTGTACAGACGTTTTAAAAGTTGTTTACGTGACGTCACAATCTTGCGCTAAATATCGCGTGCAAAACAAGACGATACTTATATTACTGAGCGCTGTATAATTGCCAGTTGCGTAGCAGGCAAGGGGGTTCATAACCATTTTTCTTTGATAATGAAATTAAATAAAAAGGTTATTTTTTGATTTTCGTGAAATATGGTATATATTTTCACTCAACATGATAAAATGCCTCATATTTTCACTCGCCGTCCCGGCTCGTGAAAATATGTGGCCTTTTATCATGTATCGTGAAAATATATTCCATATTTCACTCAAAAGAAAAAATATCCTCTTAGCATAAACACGATTTTACCTTTATTTCGCTCAGCAACTTCGTTCATCTCTTATAATATTACCTGATAACTGTTAACAACAATTAAAACAATAAGGAATTGTTTTGTAAAAGTAAACGTAGGACATGAGGATTTGATATAAGGATGTCGTACTTGCATCACTCACCGTAAAGCCTTGGTTGCAATTTTTCTGTGTAATTTCCACGTTGGTCCGTAGTTACTAAACCCAATGTTTTTCCCGCCGTAAGTTAAAATATCAACTTGAAAAACAACACAATGGAAAAGGTAATTGAAACAATATCAAAAATATTTTATAGATATAAGGTAAAATACTGTACCCAGTCTGTTTGCCAATCACTCCAGATATAATGAATGTAATTAGAGGTTGAAAATAATGTAATTTAATAGACAGAATACAAACTGGCGGCTCTTAAAGTACAAGAACTACCTATATGGTTAGTGTCTCTATGGTTGAGTGTTAGTTGCTTCGACTAAAACGATTTCTAATCACTTCAAATATCAACAGTAAATTGACCTACGATCGTTAATTACTATTGCCAGTTCGGCTGAAATGTTGCCACAGTAATTATAGGGCACACACAGAATGAATACGACTTTAATCCAGCTTACGAGATGGAGTAAGTACTCTCAAAGCAAAGTCCGTTGACTTTTTGACCAATACCTCCAAAGCGGCATCTATTGAGTTAACAAAGACCACTTGAAAGGTTCCTGCGACGAAAAAGGTTTTATAATAAGAACATATTATATTGTGAATCAGATGTAAACACAAACATAAAACATAACATTATGTGATAACAAAAACTATTTATTTGTTTTTCAGTGGCTTTAACTCATTCTGCATAAATTCATATGGTTTGCTTATTACTTTTATGGAAACCATCTAATTAGTTTTTACATTCTGACACATTATTCAAATCCATCCTGAAGATAACTGTTCTAATGAATTTACACATGTCATTGACAGCGCTTCTAAATACATTGTTTCCAACAGATTTAAAAACTCAACAGGAAAAATTGTTAGGGATCTTTTTACAAAATCTCGCAAAGCAAATATTATAACACTAAAATTATATATACTATTATTGCTGTATGTGACAAGTCATCTTACGTTTATTTGGCTTGAAATTGTTAGATATTAAATTAATAGATGTACATACCTATTTTAACTGTAACGAGAGGCCCATATTTCTTTGACCACTCAAATGCTTGTTCATGCATATCTTTTTGTCGATTTCTAAAATAGAGTTCTATCTAATATGATAAACAAGATCATCAAGGAAAAGCAGCATTGAACAAACGCAACCTGGCATGACCGAGCAACGAGGACCAGTGACCAGGAGTCCAGGAGGACCCCAAACAAAAACAGGACAGGGCACAAGGAAGAGCACGGGAAGGATAATCACTTTAATCATACATAAAAAAAGGAAAAAATAGTAACCGACAAGGTTAAGACAAGTATCTATTCAAATCGTTCCAGTAATTTAACTTTAAGAACATAATTAAACAAGTTTTAAGATTACTTAAAAATCCTCAAAGTCAAACCTAGAGAATATTATTCAAAATATTTGAGAACAAAAAAAAACACCATTGCTTTAAGTTCTGCTTAAATATTTTGTGACTTAGTTTTATTCATTCACGAGAGTTACTTACGCAGCATATTTCCAATGAGCGGCAATGCTGGAGGCCCAGGTGGGTATTTACATTTCCATTTTTGTATCATCCAATTCACAACAAGACCAGTAACTATAGCAGCAAGACATGTTGTCCAGATAGATCCCGGCAACAAGAACTCTTGTATCATGTTCATGGACTATATGCTGCGTTTCTCAATCTGTAAACCAGTCAATAAAAACATGTAGTCAGTCTGTATTGGATCTTTCATGACATGTTTTATTATAACGTATGATATATTATGAATAAGATAGCTTTATGACGCATTAGTTAAACTTAACCCAAGCTTACCCAACTGATGACACTTATCCCGCTTTAAAATTGAAAAAAAAATTAAGGTAGAATTCCTGATTATAACAGGGGTGCGAGGGCCGAGGTTACACTCGACCGATACATTATAATTCAGAAAAAATATGTCCTAAAAGTGTTATAATCAATGATCATCAAGACCAACAGTGTTATTATGAACTTTGGTTCAATCAAGAAAACATCACTGGTCATAAAACAAAGAATAATTGATATCCACATACAACATCAAACAATTCTAGCCGATTACAATCTTATTTATATATAAACATAATTATGATATAGTAAAATACCTACAAGTAATAACAATTAAAAAAATTATATTCTTTGCTAATAATATCCGAACACAAAATTAAAATAAAAATTCTTAAGGATACTCACATAACATATATATATATATTTGATTTCTTTGATAAATGTTTAGAATGCTATCTCTATTATATTTTGATTATGCTTAATGTTATGTAATGTAACATATTAATTATATTTGTTTATATTCCTGTATACTATGCTTCTCGAAAATTTCATGTTTGCAGTATTTTTCTATCATTTGTAATTTGCTATAAGTATGTATTTACTTAATTGCAATAAACGTTTGAATTGAATTATCAATAGACCGCAAGACTAAAAGTGATATAATCAATGATTCTGAATGCAAAAAGAGTTTTATGTACAATTATCTTAAATGCTAAGTGTTATTATCAAAGAATAAATATGTTATAATCAATGATCCACAAGGCTTTTAATGTTATAATCAATAATCCTCAACGTTAAAAGTATTATAATCAATGATCCTTATGTCATTCGCTAAAAGGTTTATAAGCCAAGATCATCAATATCCGAAGGAATATGACAATACTGAAATGAAGTACGGGTCAACTTTTTACAGCTTTCTCGAGCACAAACACATGATCCCGTTATGGCTTTGGTGTTGCCTTTAAGGACTAGGGCATCAGAATTGCAGCCACCGTTTATCCCTGTCTAATAGAAAAAGCAATTAAACGGATGCATCTCTTACAACCAGCAGGTAAGGTGGTTTTGACCCCTGGTGTTACTTTAAGTTTGTAACAACAGAGGTTAGCCAAAATCATCTTTCCTGTTTCGGCGCCGTGTGGCCTAAATTGTGTTGGGCGCAGTAAAACAATAGAGACGAACCAACACCTGCTTTGAAAAAAAGTTAAAGGAACTATGCTTGTGAACAGTAAAAAGAAGTGTTCCAACGTTTGTGTGTTTTAATGTCAGAATATTCTTGTGATACGTTTATATCAATACTTATAAATATTTATAAGGGATATAGTACAAACGGTTATAAAGCAAGGAAGTAGCATTTATAAAAGGTTATATAGAATCTGTCAAATGTTTTGATAACGACGTTAGAACGGTTCTGTATTGAGATCCTACGGATTAAATAGATTTGAAGAATACTTTTATTTGATATTTCCTCCAAACATTTATATGAGCTATATGGACAGTGTACAATAATTAAACGCCTTTTTCATTATCAACAATTAAAACGATATCGATTTTAAAAGTGTACAATATCTTATATTTTCAGCAATGCATGCTCATAAAACTATACGTACAAAATCATTACAAGGTACATATATGTATGTTTTTAGTGCCTGTAGTCAATGTTTACAAATTGTCGCTTCATCAAAAAAGATATTCGGCCGGAGTAAAACTGGTTAACCTTCTAGTTCTTTATTCTTCACGCAAAGTCATATAGAAATGTTAGCATAACTCGCATAACAATGATACATTAATTTCTTGTAGTGTGATTAATCTTAAAAAAGTGAACACTTTAAGATGACGTGTTTCGGTAAGTAAACAACAACACCTACGCAGTTCGTTAGGCAATCATTTTTATAAATCCTTGATTAATATGCAAAAATATGCAATTATTATATAATATATTAGACACTTATTTAGTAAACATATGCTTAAATTGTAGACAACATTTCACAATAACCGTAATATTTTAATCTAATGGAATATGATGACGCAAGAGTTGTGGTCCTATTTCGTTTTAAACAGCCTTCGGCAGTAATATGGCGCATTCTAAAACAAATGGTTCTGGAGACAAAACCATTTGTTCTAGTTATAAAATATGGCTAATAAAGAAAAAATGGAATTCGTTTTCACACTTGCTACATGATCAACATGTTTTTCTAACTTACAGTGTTTGCACAAAATGTCGTTAAAAATCGTCATCACTCTCTGAAATAAACAAAATCATATCTTAAGATTTAACCATTCATGATGCTACATTATTTCATCAATAAACAGTAATGTATTGTTTCATAATTGTAATTGCTGTTTAATATTTTAATGTTAAATGTTATTGTACTTTTTTAATCAAATAAACAAACATATATATACTTAATTTTCTAACTTTACAGTGCGTGCAAATGGTAAAATCTCAAAACTTTCAATAATATATTAAATAGCAATATTTGTTGCTTATTACTACTTGTAATCTTTTAATTTGATTGACTTCCATTGATAAACATGGTAAGTAAACTAATATGGAATCTGGAAACTAAGAATGGAATTCTTTATTTTATGCTTTTCAGTGGATTACTGATTTATCCGTGAAAATTATATTTGATAATTTCACAGTGAAAATTATAAAAATATAATTTCACACTTTTCAATGACGAAACTACTTTTTTAAAATTTTCCCCATGTGGTACCTCAATTTTATTTTTGCTGACTATTCCGACAATGTCAGGCTGCTTAAAGAAAAGCAAAGTTAAAATTGATAAATAAATTAAATTAAGAAAAAGAAGAAAACTTACAGTATGTCACTTCTATTCATTCAAATTACCAATCACCAAATATCGTCTCTTACATTTTTTGTTTCATTTTTACAGTCTGAAAAATACATTCCTTCAACATGCAAAACTGCTCTTGATGACATTTGGGAATATTAAAGTATCCTACGAGCAATAACTGCCGTATGCCTTATGAAAACTTGAAAAGCAATGGCAGCTTTCACTCGAAGAATATGTAAAACAACCCAGCGTTCGTAAGGCTTCCCAAGTTTTCCAATTTCCTATCCACTTTTTTGAATGTTTACACATCTGTCAACACTTATTTATTGTCTGTTACAATCCTCCAATAAGTTTTCTTTCTTTTTAAAAAGGTGTATGACTAACAAATCCAAATGATATCCTCTGAATCAAACACAATTATTTTCCTCCAGTGAGGAATACACAACAATTAAAAAATGGGCGGCCGTTTACATTTAACAAAAGCCAGGTCTAATATAAATTCGCAGTCAGTAACAGAAATATGGATGGATGGTTGGACTTTTTCTGTCCTACTAGAATTGTTTGTTTTTATTATCAAAACAAGCAATCAGACCATATTGTTTTAATAAAATGAATACTATCACTACCTTTTAACATTGATTTGTGGAACTTATTTTTTCAGCCCATGACTTCTTAATTTTTAAAGGAAAAAATTTGATTTTTTGAGGGTTTTAAAGGGGGGGAAAACAAAAATTTTAAATTAACGGGAAAAAATTAAAGGGAAAATTTTGTTTTTAAAACCCGTTTTTTAAGGGAAAAAAATAAAAAAAAAATTTGTTTGTTTGTTGTGTTTAAAATGTAATTTTTTTTTTATCTCGTTTAACTTTTAAAAAAAGTATTCTCCTTTTGGCTAACCCACTCGTAGAATAAATTTTTTTAAAAAAACCCCATCGATGAAAAAAAATTTTTTCTTTCACACAAACAAAAAAATCCCCCTATATCGTTATGTAAATTTAAAAAAATAGGAAAAAAAATGTCTTTGTTTAATTTTGAAATTGGAAAATGTAAAGTAATTTTGAGTACTTACAACATTAACACTTGGATGGCCATAATGACACCGATGCAAAGCTGCTAATGCCAATTTTTACAAGACAAAGTTTTCAAACTAAACAGTTATTTTCGAAAACAAATACCCGCAAATGCTTTGGCTAATGTCAGACTGGTGCTTGACAATGTGTCTTTGCACAAGATGTCTATAGTGCAAGACTTTTCTGTAGCAGAAAAAGTCGTTGTGCTCCTCCATCCTGATCTTGCTCTTGTGACTTCTCTTTGTTACCGAAGCTACAGAATACGTTTCAGGTCAAAAAATTTGTTACGGTGAAACACCTCGGTTCTGCAATATTCTAAAAGTCTTTAAGTATAATACCTAAAAACTATAAAAATGCCTTTAACGCTTGGACCCGAAGTATGAAACTTTTTATATCCCTTTGAGGTGTATACTGTGAGGGAACAAAGTAAAATATTCAGTGAAACTAGTAAAGAATAAAATGGTCTATGCATACATATTTGAACACTGAGTATACTCCTTTCTTATCTTTTGTTAATATTTCTATTTTTTTAAGTTTCATGTGATCTAGGTACCAAAAATATATTTCAATGCTTTTGTACCTCCGTGGAGCTGCTTTACTAATAATTATCGAAAATAAATCTTACCGAAGAATATATCAGCAATCGTTTGGATAAGGTGATCTTCATCAAGTCCGACGAGCGCATCTTATCCTCTTCATCTTCCGCCTCCATGCGAGCGAGAATCAAATGATCCGCAAAATGTCGGATGTCATCTATTAAATATATTTTTAATTAAACTATCTCAGAGAGCATTTAAATAATATATAACATTTAACTTAAAAGCAGTGTTACATTTGTTTATTTGATCTCTGATTTGAATGTATTTTAACAACTGTCATCAATTTAATATGTGTAGTATTTCATAGAATTCGTCTCTAGTTTCCTTTGCAATGAAATGATATACACGTATTCATATGATTCTGGATAAAAAAGTGGACTGCGTTGATTTAAAAGAATGAGAATAAACAAAGCCTCTGTATAATTTAATATAAATGAAGAGTTGCTGGTCTTGATTGGTGATTTACAAACGACGTGCAAGTAAGTACTTGATAACTCGAAAAGGGTAATGATAAAAGAAATAAATCAGAGACAAATCAAAAGTGAGTCAATCGAAATAAATATGATTTGCAGATGACCTCGAATCATACGGTAGTGACCATTTGATTGTTACAATATTTGAAAAGATTTAACAAACTCTACATTGTCAAAGACGCATGGTGAGAGACAATTTCAAACCAATCTTCGAAAAGCGATGCTAAAATGGCGCATTTCATAAGCAAAACGTTTCTTTATAGTAAGTTAAACTTACACTTGAACAATTTATTTAAGTACCTACACAGTGGTAATTCTGTCTAAATATTCGGGAAAAAGCCTGCAGTTCTCATCTATTTGGATTATTCATTGTCTTTCAATACATTTTGTTTTCGAAATTTTCTCATATGATTAATACCAAAATTAGTATACTTAAAACACATAGAAGAACAGTCTCAGAGCCTTATTTCTATGGGCCACCTATTCTTTTCTCTACATGAGCTGACAAAATAAACTACGGAAATAACTCGTTTCCATGTTAATTATTGTAAAACTATAATATATGGCAATGTTATGCGACCACTCAACGGCTCTTTACAAACCAAGATATTCCTATCCAAATTAATGGAGTGGAAACTATATATAAATATGGAAGTTAAACTTACACTTGAACAATTTATTTAAGTACCTACGCAGTGGTATTTCTGTCTAAATATTCGGTAAAAAACCTGCAGTGTCTCATCTATTTGGATTATTCATTGTCTTTCAATACATTTTGTTTTCGAAATTTTCTCATATGATTAATACCAAAATAAGTATACTTAAAACACATAGAAGAACAGTCTCACTGCCTTATTTCTATGGACCACCTATTCTTTTCTCTACATGAGCTGACAAAATAAACTACAGAAATAACTCGTTTCCATGTTAATTATTGTAAAACTATAATATATGACAATGTTATGCGACCACTCAACGGCTCTTTACAAACCAAGATATTCCTATCCAAATTAATGGAGTGGAAACTATATATAAATATGGAAGAAAATTGACTGTAAAGCCGAAATGTACAAACCTTTGTTAAACGTAGATTCTGCTTCCTTGAATTTTTTCCATATGACACCTTCGATCATTTTATGAACGGAAGCCTCCAATTCTTTAAAGGCCTGTGATTTGTACATATAAGTTGTTGCCGGGACAAGGTCTTCCAAAATCATCGATGATGTCAACTTTTCGTTTACATCATCTTTAGTTTTTATTACAAAGCCAACCTCTTCATCTTTGAAATCGTACCTTTCAGAGTTAATATACATAATTGTGAGCACACAAAGAACAGTGGATTTTGTGCTCTCTTGTGACTCCATTTAACATTAATCAACTCCATTTCATATTCACCAAGTTGAAAATAAACCAATAGATTATGTTCAATCGCAGTCGTTCAAAACTGATGTCTTAGACAAACTGATAAAAGTGTAACTGTTATATTTCGATTATTCCGGTGTTCCTTTCAAGACGTTTACATTTCATTATTTTAGGTACTGGATGCAAAATAAAACATTCTGTTCCGTAAGATAACTTAACAACAATGTGTGTTCTTCATAATTACTCTGGCAGTATTTCAGCTGAAGTGGTAAACGAAAATAACGGCCGTTAGTCAATGTTACATTTAATATTAGATGTGATAAGAAAATGAATTTAAGTCGTATACATATATTTCCAAAACAACTTAAACTAATCCTAAGAGTTTTAAAGAGCCGCCGGTTTGTTATTCTGTGTATTAAATAACATTTTCAACCTCAAATCATTTGCATGATATCGCTGTTGGAGTTATGACGGTAGACATTAGCCTTATTTTTAAAAATATTTTTGAAATTGTATTATTACCTTTATCATTGTATTATTCCTCAAGTTGGTGTTTTATCTTACGGCGGGAAAAACATTGCTTTTAGTAACTACGGACCTACGTGTAAATTACACAGACAAATTGCAACTAGGGCTTTACGGTGAGTGATGCAAGTTAATTTGTAGTTCGATTGATGCTGGAAATAATCATTCAGATTTAACAAATGATGACATTCGCATTATCGATTCATTATTAAAACTGAAGGTATTAAGTCCAGAACAACTTGAAAAATTATATAAAAAGTACTTTATATAATGGAACAAAAAATTGTATTAAGTTCTGAATTGGTTCGAAATAATGATAAAAATACCCCAAGTGAGTTCACAGTAAGATTTAGTCGTCCTTTAGTTTTAGATAAAAATAAAAGATATATTGTTGGATTAGATTCAATAAATTCAATGACTTACTCTTGGCATAATATATGTGATGAATATGATAATAAGAGAATTCGCTGTAATAATTGTAAGGAATTGAAAGATATTTTCTTTACAAATGGTTCTTATTCTTACACAGATATCAATAATTACATAAGAGAAACATTAATAAGTTATGATGATTTCGATGGTGTTTCTGCTATAGCACCTATAAGTTTAGAATTTGATTTGAGTAGTTTTAAAATTCTAATTTCACTAATGGATAATTTTTCATTAGATTTTAGACTACCAGAATTTTGTAAACTACTTGGTTTTGAAAAGAAAAGAGTAAATAAAACAGAATGGGGAGCTTTAACACCTAATATAACTAATTCTGTGGATACAATTTATATTCATTGTGATTTGATAGATAATTCACTTGTTGATGGAGAATTTGGTGATGTGATATATGCTTTGAGTACTGCGGATTTAACAAGAGCTTATCCTTTTACAAAAGAACCTATTAGGGTTGGTTATTCTGAAATTAATAGAAATATTATAAATTCGATAAGAATATATATTACAGATGTGTTTGGTAGAAGAATCAATTTTAATTAAGTTGAAACTCGTTTTACATTAATTATAAAAGAAATGTAAATTATATAATGCACAAAAAAGTATATGATGAAAATAGTTGAGTATATTTTTATGTTGATAATTGGACGGGAGAAGGTATCTCTGCAAGGTCTTCGGGTGCAGGAGGTATCTTTGACACTTTATTTTCTTCTGTAGGTAAAAAAGTATTAGACACTGTAGGTAAAACTGCTCTTAAAAGTTGCGCCAAAAAGGTTGGAACTGAAGTCGGAAATTTAGCTGCTGATAAAATAACAGGTGTATTTAAGAAGAAAAAACTACCTCCTAAGGATAAACCAGTTGGCGATAAAATTGTGAAAGAATTAAGAAAGATGGATACTGGAGTTGAGGACATATATTTACAAATAAATGAATTGTTATCTGGAAGGAGATTATTTAAAAAAGATATATAATATATATGTTTCGATCAAAACAATACTGTAAAAGATATGAACAAACACCTATTCAAATAGATACCGCTTTGATAACAATCCTGACCGATAACGCCTCCCAGCAGAAAAATGGATATAGTTTTATTATAAATGATAGATATTATGATTGGTTCAATGGGTATTTTGAGGTAAATTTTAGAATAAATAAACTGGCAGACGAAGCTAATTATAATAATGCTGATCAAATTGCTTTAATAAATAATGCAGCTTCATTAATTGATCAATTAGTTATAAAACAAAATGGAAAGATTGTATATGATTGTAATAACTTAAATAGGGTTGTGAATGTAAGAAATTTATTTGAATTAACAAAAGATTATGCAGAAACAACTGGGACAAATGAATTTATTGCTTTGGATTACACAAATGTAGCTGAATCTAGAGCTAATCAGGCTGGATGTAATAAAAGTTTTGCTGCAAGAAAATTATTAGCTCAAGGAGGTAAGGAAATTAAATGTAAAATCCCTTTAAACAATTTTTCATTTTTTTCGGAGTTTAGAGACAAATATGCTGCCTCCTAGCCAAATTCAAATTACATTACAATTAACAAACGACAATGAATTAATTTTAAAGGCAGCTGCAGCCGATGATGGAAGAGTTATAGTTACTAAACTTATCTTATGGGTTCCTCGGTTAATCTTTAACGCTGAAGGATATAGTTTGATTTCCGAACTTTATTTGAAAGCAAAACAGTGGAACTATCTTCGAAAAATGGTCACACAATCATCTGATGCAGAGCAAAGCAATACTACTTTTAGAATAACAGCTAGTGTAATGAATCCTAAACATGTGCTTGTTTATTTACAAAGAGCTAATAAAAGCTATTCACAAGACCAAAACCCTCATTTATTAGATACTTTGAGAGTAAATGCTAATAATAGCAATTGTACTTTGCAATCTTGTCGTCTTGAAGTTGGAAATGGTGTTTTTTACCCCGAAACAGAATATACTAGTATAACGAGAATATATGACGTAATAAATTATTTTCACAAACAAAATGACAAAAAAACTTGGTCTCTTTTAAATATATCAAACTCTGAGGGCACAAACTTGCAAAAGCATATAGAGATAAATGCCCTTATACTTTTAGATTGAAGTATGAAGATTTAAATGGTACTTTCCCAATACTTTTAACACAGACACAAATAAATAAAATTGATAGGGCTAAACAGAAAAAATCTGGCTTAGAAATAAAGATATCACGGGAACAAATGCGAAGTCAAGGCGGTTTTCTTAACACTCTAATTCCGTTTGTTACAAAATTGGCTCCAAAAATATTTGGCGCCTTTAGGTGTTGGAGCATTAAGTGGTTTGGCTAGTACTGGTGTAAGTAAAATACTTGGGAACGGTATGGTATCTGTAGCAAGAAATAAATGAAAACAATTAATGAATGATGGGGTAATTAAGTTAAATAACAAGCAAAGGCAAGATGGTGGTTTCCTTGGTATGTTAGCAGCATCTCTAGGAATACCTTTAATAACATCATTGTTAAGTGGCAAGAGTTTACAGGTTGATGCACAACAAGTTCCATATAGTCGAATTCCCATGGTAAAAAAAAAGTCTGAACAAACCATTATCTAACTTTGAAATAGAACAATGGGTAAAACAACTTGGTATTTAAAACTTTCAGGGCGTCTTCAGTAGAAATAATTTAACTTCTCACAGTAAAAAATGCGGGATTATAAATTTAGATGACTTTATTGGACCTGGTACACATTGGGCGTGTTATTACAAAAATAATTACTTTGACCCTTTCGGACTTCCTCCACCAAAAGAGGTAATCAGTTACATTCCAGGTTTGAATTATAACAACATACAATATCAAGATAAAACAAGTGTGTTGTGTGGTTATTATTGTTTATTTTTCATACATTTATTACAGAATAAAGTGCCTTTATATGATATATTATACAAACATTTAAACATCAATAATCAAAATGAAAAAATGAACAAACAATAATAAACTATTTCACTAAGAATAATGTTAAAAAAATAGTAAAATCAGTCAAGCGTGTGCCGACCCTCGTCGGTGTGTGCCTCCTTCACTCTACAATAGTACAGCTAAAATTAGTCAAGTATATACTAGCAAACGTCGGTTTGCGCTTCATTGACTCCACAAAAGTTTTCTAATACAAGCAAATGGTATAATCAATCAAGCGTTTGCCGACGCTCGTCGGTTTTCGCTTCATTGACTCTACCATTTCAATTCATTGAATATCGGTGGAATAAATCTCCAATGCTTTTGAAGAAAATGCAATGACAAAGAACAATGAATGATATCGGAATGATCGATTGAAAATTTACAGTGTGAAATTTTATAAGGTATACCATTTTCTTTTAATTTTTAAAATATCCACCTTTCTAAAAATCCTTGATTTTTTTTAAAAACTTCTCCTCTTTGAATGTTATAAAGTAACTTAGCTCTTCCCGCACTCATTGTATGTCTGTCTAGTGTTTTTAAAGTTTCAATATATTTTTCGGTGTTTTCAAGCTCCAAATCAACATCTCCGGTTAAGATCCGATTGTTTGAATATGATTTTTCTACCTCTTTTTTGACTTCGTCGTATGTTTTGTTTTTTGTTTTTTTTATTATTATTATTATTATTTCGTTGAGGTAAGTTTTGTGGTACATCTGGAAGCTGCTGAATTGATTTCTTCTCTTTCAATAATCCCTTTTGTTTTAAAACGTCAAGATTTTTAAATTCATCTGTACTTAAGTATTCATTTTTTTTTAATTCCCAAAAATTTTATTTCGTCTTCTGTAACTTTTTGTTGTTGATCATGATGTCTAATAAAATTATGAATGTTAGAAATGTACTCAATTCTGTTTTTAAGATTGCACATTTTATTGTAATCATGCTGCGTAATAACTTCTCCTTTTTTATGAATAAGAAAATCCTCAGGATTGTTTTTATATTTGGAGATTTCTATAGCAAAGGTTTCAGCCCTAAAAATAATAAATAAAAACAAAGTTTAATAATTTACATATTTATTTAACGAAAGAACTTCTAAGATAAAAGAATAGATAATTGATTTACTATATTTGTTAGAGAAAATGGTAAAACAACTTACGTGCTAAATGATGCATTTAACATCTATTTCACTATTGATTTTTAGACTAGGCGGAAGTTCTGTAGTCTAGACGAACGTTCTGGATACTGGATGACGTGATAACTGTCTGCGTTTCACTCTTGACCTTTAGACCGTTCCCGAAGGAAAGTATCCACGTGATACGGAACAACGTAATAACTTCCTGCGTTTCACTATTGATTTTAGGCTACAACTAATTAAAAGTTGATTCCTAAGGTATGTTATAAGAGAAAAGGATAAACACTTTTTTGAGACAGACTTTAAGGTGTTACCCATAATTAATCTCCTTGTTTAACAAACTTAAATTTCAATTTACACATGAAGCACACGCGGCTTTTATCATTAATCTTCCGTTTTTTGTTGTAACATATTGAGGATTTACATTATCAGTGTATGTTCGTTCTTTCAAACAATATATTTGTTTTTGTAAACTCATTTATATATTTAAATTATAAAAAGTACAAGAGCCTTTTAGGCTCGTCGGTTCCCTTACAAAAGCCTTTTAGGCTTGTCGGTTCCCTTACAAGAGCCTTTAGGCTGCGTTATATTCTATTTTAGATAGTATATAAAATGAGGTTTTTCCCGGGGTTTTTGGGCCTGGAGTGTTCTAAACCCCAATAAAAAAGGGGTTTATGGGGTTCGAAACGTCTTACTTTTTTGGGTTGTGGGTAAGCTTGTTGAGCTGTTTTACCCTTTGGGTTTTGATTAATAAAAAACATTTAGACCTAAAAGGTCATTTTATATTACTAGTTATTTTCCGGGGTAAACGTTAAAAAGAAATTTCAAAGGAGTTTTTCAGCCTTATTTCATATATGTTTCGGGAAAAGCCGAGTTGGAGCATTCAGAGAAAAACATTTATCCCGTTTTCAGGCCTAAACCAGGCAATAAATCTATTAACTTTTTTTACAATTATCTCAAGTACCATAGCCATTCTTTGGTGCGCTGCATTATTTTTTAATACTCTTACGTTTTCTTATAATAAATTTGTATTTTACCTTCGAGTCGACGAAAAAATGGTCTAAGTGGGAGCATTCAGCAGGTGCGCGATGACGTAGTATCCTACCATTGATTAGTATCGTTTGTTTTTATTACATACTGATTACACGGTCGATGCACACAGTATATTAATCTTCGGTAGATAGCGCAATAGGGTAAATCACGAGTTTATAATCTAAGTGCCACTCTTGTTTTAAATTCAAGGCCGCGTTGGTCCATATTTTTTTTCTTATTAATACTTTCAACATTATTGAATCTATATATGATTATTTTATGTTGTTCGTTTTTTTATTATGTTTTTCTTAATTTGTTATGTATATATACCCTTTTTAAATAACGTGTTTTTTATGAATTCATGTTTAAAATTTAAACGGATTAAAATCAATAAATGTCTTTTCAATGCCATAAAGCACACTACAAATCTGTTCCATTGAAATATACTGCAAAAATAAAGAAAGAGTACTAAAACAATGGCAACAGTAAGGATCGAACATCAGACCTCTCAATTATCAGGCATTCTCTTTACCGACTGTCCTATTTTGAATTAACGAAAACCTTTACATTAAGCTTGCGTGACTTTCAATCCATGACTAATATACTCCACATTAATTCTCGTAAACTACACGTACGGACCAAACCAAAGTGGGATGAGTTCTATAATGTATTCATAATTGACAGGTCAATAAAATCAGACAAAAATGGTCCACAAGGGAATTATTTGCGTCCGGATCGGAAAAAGGGGCCCAAAACAAGATTCAGATATTGTTCTTCAAATGGGTGGGTCCAAAACACTGCTTTTTGGGATTTTTGTTTTTTTTGTGATTGGTGAGTATTTATAATTTATTTTCTAAAAAAAAATAAGCTAAAAAAATATGGATGGCATCAACGATGACCTTTTACAATATAATTATTTATTATATACTTAGATATTAAGAAATATTGATGAAATAAAATGAGTCATTTCATTTCCCGTATTTTCGCTGTAGAAGTTTATTTTTCACTGCAGTCTAACATATTTTCCGTATTTTCACCTGTGTCTTGCCGGACTACTTTCTTCTAAATTCAGCCAAAACACCATTTTAGAGGAAGTTTTTCAAATTGTTATCATTATGTCAGAAAAAAGTAAAATGTATTTCAATTTTTTTCTATAAATACGAGATTTATTTCATCTTGTGGTATGAGTATTATCATATTTCACTCGTGGCTACCACTCGATGAATTTATGAAAGTATTTATAGAAAAAATTGAACACCCTATATTATTTTATGTCATACAAAATGGATTAATAACCATAACATTGTGTGTATCTATACGTTGAATAATATATTTTAAATACTTTATTGAGTAAAATCATTTTTATTTTCCATCCTTTGATGTTAACTTAATTCTTATTTTATTGTATTTCCAACTGTGGTTTTTAACAATAATTCAACGGCATTGACTACGAAAACAAAGTTAATTCACAGACGCTTGGGGGGCAGATTCTGACCCCCCCCCCCCCCCCAACGTGATACGCCCCTGTAAACACTCTATCAAAACTATTTTAATACTGAAACACGAATTGGACATCTGTGTTACAACGATAAAACTGGTTTTCAAAACAATTTTTTACATATATGAAAAAATATCGTATATATATTCAAGTCTATTGAGACTTGATGGTATAGGGTAATTTTTCATATATATAAAAATTGTTTGAAACCCAGTTTTATCGTTGTAACAGATGTCCAATTCCTATTTCAAATGTTAAGATATTTTTGATAGAGTGTAACAGTGGCGTATCACGTTGGGGGCAAGATCTGACCCAAAGCGTCTGTGAGTTAAATTAGATCCATTATATAATTTCAAAAAAAAATTGCGTCATGAGAGATATTTTATGTTTCCAAAAAATATTGAAGAAATAAGAACTGGAAAAATAAACAAACTTAAAACGGATTTTATATTGTAGAAAATTTGTCGGCGTTAATTAAAATGATTAAATTAACGAACTCCACTAGTACAAAATTTCTAAACATGAAATTTGAATTTCTTACATAGGTAAAAAATTTTCACTTGAAATGATTTGCAAGTAATAATAAAGAAATATACTAAAAATTGAATTTAAACTGGTATTTGGTTCGATTTGTAACACAGTTAAAAGCTAGACTTTTAACCATTTTCGTTTTGGCCATTTTTCACATTCTGGAAAAAGGTATTGAGAAATTATCTGAAATTTTGAACACAAAACTGGAACAAAAATCTGGTAATAAAATCCAGTTCTCAGTGGAGTCCCTTAAATATTTTCTTGTAGAGTTATTAAATTATTAATGATGACATCAATGTCTTAAATTTTCTGATAAGGCTTTCTACTGTTTACACCGATGCTATACACCCTCGTTTAAGACTAGTTGCGTGCTTTGAATGACGTCATTCCTGCGGGCCCTTTATAAATGAATTGCGTTCTTAGGAGTTGGTATTGCTCGCCCATATGGTCTCTTTCCGGTGGCGAGGGTAAACAAACCCAAACAAACACACACACACACACACACACAGGGGTCCGTACTCTCAGTGCCTGAAAGGGCGGATGGACCCTTATTCAACTTAGAACACACACAGGAGAATTTCATTTTGCCGTTATGAAATAAATTGTAAATTTCATACGCTTTTATTATCAAAAACGCAAGGATCTTAAAGGTTTTGTTGTTGTTGTTGTTGTTGTTTTAGTTTCTTTCCGAGATAAAATTTGATATAATATGCAAGAAAAAGAATCGCACACAGGCTGTCGTCACAGACAGAAAGAGCCTCGTTACCACTGTAAACACTCTCAAGCTAGATATTCTGGTCTGCACCTGCAGCCGGTGTAAGATTATCCATTGCTCTTTCTATGCTATGCGTAGATATGTACTTATTCTATTTGTTTTATTAAAAACAAAAATATCTTAAAGGTTAAATGTTACATAACATGTTGAATACGGACATTGTATTAGAAAAACAAGGATACGTATTGTTCTCTTGCTTTCTCCTTTATAATAATGTCAAAAACTTGAAAAGTGTTTGGCAAACTTGAAGAAGATCTTTAATCATGAACACATTTAATAAGATCTGTCAAACTATGCTGTATGTAAAATAAATATAATCACATAAAAAGAATATCGGCATAAAAACGTAAGGTGAAAATGTAGTAAAGTTTTAGATTTTAACGATACCGTATAATTAATTACCGTGTTTCAATTCAGGCCTCGACATTAGCGGTAGTCCATTGGTCCGAGACCACCTGATTTTGGCGAGGACCACCTAATTTTACAGGCAACTGGTCCGTTAGACCACTTGAATTTTCCAAATGGTGCAGGGATCATCTGGGAAAATGGTTATTTGGTCAAAAAACGTGTTCTATAATTGAAATTTAAAACCATTTCTCCTATGTACAGGTATATGTTCATTCATCTCATTAGTTCAAAAAGATCTTTAAACACATCCATAACTTTTTATTAACTTGCTAACAGTGTAGTTAAAAAAGTAGAAAATTATTTTAATAATTAAGTATAAAATTCATTCAAATGTCTCTAGTACTGCATTGAATTTATAACGTTGCATCACTATGGGATATCGGATAAACACATGAATAATGGTGCAAACAAAGGCAAAGGAAAAATTAAATATCTAGTAATCTTTGGCTACTTTTTTAAACGTTCAGAGATTCATTTTGTTTTCTTATTTAAAGTACTTAAAAAGGTTATAAAAACTTTGTCAAAAATAAATAAATTTCAACAAACAAGCATGTATAAAAAATCTGTGAGGAAGATAAGCTCAATTAGAATGTAGGAATTTTTCTGTTTATCATTAATATTTCATTGTTTCAAAGACAAGAATATAATAACTTAATAGTTTAATAATCTATAAAACGCAATTATTATTCTTATCAGATGTACCAGGAAACAGCAATCAGGATTTGAATAACAGTAAGGAAATAAGTCATTCAAAAATGGTTTCACTATTCCCTAACTTGAGTTGCGGAAGAAGTCACTTAACCAAAATATTAGTACTGTCATGAATCTTTCAATGACATAATCAATACTAAATATGATTACAATGACTTACTATCTGATTAGATTGAAATATATAATCTAAGCTATATGATTTTGATTTATTGCAATAGTAATATTTTCAGAATAAAAGTACGGATAAATGATTCACATCCCCTGGTGGACTAACAAACCACTAGCTAGTAGGTATTTGGTTATTCGAATATCCAACTACCAACAACCTACCAAATAGACGTTCATTATGTCAACTTTGAAATTGTTTTTTCAGGTCCTTGTGCAGGTATTAAAGAGTGTGTGACCGCACAAATCAAAAAAATACAGGAAGGACCTGCAATACCACAAAGGCCCCCTACACCATTTAGTCTATTCCAATCATATGCCGGTTATATGTGCGGGTAAGAAAATATTCACTGTAAATTATAGACATGTATAAGCAAGACATGTGCGCTAAGAATTATGAATTAGTCGACATATTTTATGACAAGACCGTTCACTTTCAGTAATATGTAATCGTCTTCTAATATATAAAGATGAAAATAGGAATTTTAAAGTTATAACCAGAGTTTCAAAATCCTTTGAAATATTTAAACTTACTTTGGAGTATAGAGAAATCATAGTGAACAATTTTCAACATTGATCAAAGTTTCTTATCATGAAACATTTCGTTTGTTCCGTTTATAAGTGTATTTCATATAATATACAGAAAAAAACAGCTTTGGTCCAAACCTACATCCACCAGACACCACCTACTCATTAGGTCATCAACAAACATTTAACTACCCGGACACCCCGGTCATTCCATTACATACAAAGATTAACTTCCCGAACACATCGGTCATTCCATCACATGGCTTCACGGACACAGTCGTCTTTTTATCACAGAAACTTAATTTCCCGGACATGTTGGTTATTCTATCACATAACAAACTTATTTTCCACATAGGTCATTACGCACATAACAACATTAGCTTCCTGGACATATTTGTCATTCTATCACTTCAAAGGTAAAAAGATCACATGCAGTTCTATTTCACGGTCACATAAATTAAACAATCACATAACAATTTTGTTTCCCGGAAACAATCACATCGCTTAATCAATTGCATGGTGACATAGGTGAAACAATCACATATTAAACTAAACCACCAAGAAAATAACTTCACGTTAATTTTCTTGTCTCTTACGTGAAATAAAATATTTATATTAATGATTATTTTCAGACCCGTGAAGAATATTTTCGAATGTTTGAAGAACGCAGATTCTATTTCCGAGGATAAAGTTAGGCGCATATATTTGGAGAAGGCAGGAGAGAAGCTGCCATCTGAATCAACATGGCCAACATACGATCAGACGAAGATGTTTGCCTTACAAGAATGTCCAATGTTACCTACAGGTGTCACTTTTAAATTTATACATAATTTAATGTTCAAATAATTTTCAAATCAAGTTAAGATGAAAATTACAACACTATCGAAAATCTTTTAATTTATGTTAATGATAACGAAGTCTCAATGACTTTTTACTCATATTGTCTTGATCGTTAAAATTTTAATTTTACTTATAATTACATTGACATTTCTGTTGATGACATTTACAAGCATTTCACTTTTTGTTTAGATTTCTCAACTAACAAGTGCGTCATGGATAATCTGAAGACGGACAATTTTGTCATGTGTTTTCAAAATGTATCAATGACCTATCCTACACATAACAACAAAGTCAGCTGCGAGTAAGTTCACTATTTAAATTTTATGTCTATATAATAATACTGAAATCATGTTAACATCATAAATATTGGTGTTCAAATTCAGCACTTATGATAGTGATGCACCTTTCAGCACTCATGATAGTGTGGCATATTGCAGCACTTATGGTAGTGTGGCATATTGCAGCACTTATGGTAGTATGGTAGTGTGGCATATTGCAGCACTTATGGTAGTGTGGCATATTGCACCACTTATGATAGTGTGGCATATTGCAGCACTAATGGTAGTGTGGCATATTGCAGCACTTATGGTAGTGTGGCATATTGCAGCACTTACGTTAGTGACACACCTTCAGCACTCATGATAGTGAAGCATATTGCAGGCACTTATAGTAGTGTGGGCATATTGCAGCACTTATGGTAGTGTGGCATATTGCAGCACTTATGGTAGTGTGGCATATTGCTGCACTTATGGTAGTGTGGCATATTGCAGCACTTATGGTAGTGTGGCATATTGCAGCTCTTATGTAGTGTGGCATATTGCAGCACTCATGATATGTGTGGCATATTGCAGCACTCATGATAGTGTGGCATATGCAGCACTTATGGTAGTGTGGCATATTGCAGCACTCATGGTAGTGTGGCATATTGCAGCACTCATGATAGTGTGGCATATTGCAGCACTCATGATAGTGCGGCATATTGCAGCACTTATGATAGTGTGGCATATTTACAGCACTTATGGTAGTGTGGCATATTGCCAGCACTTATGATAGTGTGGCATATTGCAGCACTTATGGTAGTGTGCATATTTGCAGCACTTATAGTAGTGTGGCATATTGCAGCACTCATGATAGTGTGGCATATTGCAGCACTTATGGTAGTGTGGCATATTGCAGCAGCACTTATAGTAGTGTGGCATATTGCAGCACTCATGATAGTGTGGCATATTTGCAGCACTTATGGTAGTGTGGCATATTGCAGCACTTATAGTAGTGTGGCATATTGCAGCACTCATGATAGTGTTGGCATATATTGCAGCACTTATGGTAGTATGGCATATTGCAGCGCACTATGGTAGTGTGGCATATTGCAGCACTTATAGTAGTGTGGCATATTGCAGCACTCATGATAGTGTGGCATATTGCAGCACTCATGGTAGTGTGGCATATTGCAGCACTTATGGTTAGTGTGGCATATTGCAGCACTTTATGGTAGTGTGGCATATTGGCAGCACTCATGGTGGTGTGGCATATTGCAGCACTTATAGTAGTGTGGCATATTTGCAGCACTCATGATAGTGTGGCATATTGCAGCACTTATGGTAGTGTGGCATATTGCAGCACTTATTGGTAGTGTGGCATATTGCAGCACTTATGGTAGTGTGGCATATTGCAGCACTTATGTAGTGTGGCATATTGCAGCACTTATGGTAGTGTGGCATATTGCAGCACTTATGGTAGTGTGGCAATATTGCAGCACTCATGATAGTGTGGCATATTGCAGCAGACTTATGGTAGTGTGGCATATTGCAGCACTTAATGGTAGTGTGGCATATTGCAGCACTTATGGTAGTGTGGCATATTGCAGCACTCATGTAGTGTGGCATATTGCAGCACTCATGATAGTGTGGCATAGTGCCAGCACTTATGGTAGTGTGGCATATTGCAGCACTTATGGTAGTGTGGCATATTGCAGCACTTATGATAGTGTGGCATATTGCAGCACTTATGGTAGTGTGGCATATTGCAGCACTTATGGTAGTGTGGCATATTGCAGCACTTATGGTAGTGTGGCATATTGCAGCACTTATGATAGTGTGGCATATTGCAGCACTTATGGTAGTGTGGCATATTGCAGCACTTATGGTAGTGTGGCATATTGAAGCACTTATGGTAGTGTGGCATATTGAAGCACTTATCGTATTGTGGCATATTGCAGCACTTATGGTAGTGTGGCATATTGCAGCACTCATGATAGTGAAGCATATTGCAGCACGTATGATACTGACGCACCTTTCAGCACTCATGATAGTGACGCACATTTCAATTATTACTTTATGTTTCACTTCAATTTAACTTTATGTTTCACTCATTCACTCAATTATTTCTTTATGTTTCAATCAATTATAACTTTATGCTTAACTTCATTATTACTTTATGTTTCACTAAGTTAATATATATGTTTCATTTTATCATTACTTTATGTTTCTCAAAATTAATACTATATGTTTCACGTATAATTACTTTATTTTTCACTAAATCAATACTTTACATGTTTAATTATTACTTTATGTTTCATTTACTTATTACTTTATGTTTCACTTAATCATAACTTTATGTTTTACTAAATTAAAACCTCATGTTTCACTTTATAATTACTTTATGTTTCATTTAATTATTACTTTATGTTCACTTAACACATTACGTATTGTTAGTGTGTCCTTTTTATTAAACAATTATGTCTGTCGTTTTGTTTTATGCTGTTAATATGCGGAAAATACAGAATTATAAAATGAAAATATAATTGCAGATAATATATGAGTACATGTACTTAATTCTTATATTTAACAAACTTTCAGCGCATACAAGGCCGGGCACAATTGCGTGTCTATGTATGTTGGAACAAAGTGCGGGAGCCAGTACACGAGGGGGTTTGAGAAGATTACTCCTTTATTCATGGCAGGGATACCAGCAACTTAAATGGGCAAGTCTCATTCGATTCTCTTTGCATTATGGTAGCTAACGGCATTTAACTTTAATAAATGAAATCAAGTGAATTATCTACCTTTTTAAAAAAATGCTCTTTTTGCTTTTCTTTTCTTTGGGGTGAAAATATATGACTTTTTAACAAAAAATAAGAAAAAAAAAACCCCGGGTATTTTCTGTTTAAATTAATCTAGTTAAGTTGCACTGTTCTTAAAAATTTCTTTTATTTTTACCAATTTTTTTTTATTGATTTTCGTTACACTATAATAAATTTTTTTCTTTGTGTAAACGAATATTGAAATTTAAATTTTTTAAAAAAAAATCTTCAAGTATTTATGGAAGGCGATTTTGCATGATTGTTTTAAGTTCTCTTTCGTAAATTCATTTTATTAGCAGGAAAACTTTATCGCTTCCAAAAACATATGAAAACCTCGTTTTGAGTCACAAGTCAGTTACATTATTCCACTGTCACACATATTTTATACACTTTCCACTTTTTGTACAAGTCATATTGTTGTCAGATTTTGATAAATTCTTTTACAAAGAATAAATTCTTTTACATTTTTAACGCCTTTATGCATGTGTATACTCTTTTTTATACGCTTTAATTTTAAGTAAACCTAGTTTATAAGTAGACCTTGTTTATAAAGAGACATAGTTTATAAGTCGTATTGAAGGATGTTTACCTTATACATTGTAGTTATCTCTATGCAACAAGTTGTATAATTATATCTAAGTTGCAGCGTTTTATTAAAAATTATAAATAAGAGCATTTCGTAATGCATCTATCAAAATAACATCGTGTAAAACCGGCATTTATCGTCACTCATCGTGTCCAAGATATAATAACTATAGTCGTCATGACTATTAGAACATCTTGTAAATCAGACGCTTGCTTATTAAGTTTTAGATTCTGAAATTTATACGACCTAATTTATGAGTAAATTTCTTTCGTCTAGTTAAATTTTCCTTTCTAATAAATCTTATTAAACTAGCGGGAAAAATAAAATCTTTTTTAAAATTCATCTCCATGGTTTCACATTTTTGAAAGCGCTCTGGAGATGAAGAAAATGTTTGCTATATTATATATTATATTTTAAATTAGTAGTGAAGTCAACTTTTCTGTACAAATGAAAATTCATTAAATATGTTTTACGTAAAATGTTCTCTCTGGCGTGGGTTCGATTCCCGGGAGATGCTTTGGTAGTTTAGCGCGGAGGAAGGTAGTCTAGTACTGGTGTAACTCTCCAGAAACGATGGTTAGGAAACTACCCGCCTATGTGACTGAAATACTGTTGGGAAAGGCGAAAAATGAAACAAACAAACAAACAAACGTAAAATGTTTTAAACCTTTTACAAGGTAATTGCTCATTTTCTAGGGTAAATTTAAATATTTCAGGGGTAAAATCTTTTTGTCTCTATGACTCATTTGCGTACTGTATCCAATGTGTTTAGTGTTGTTTAAATAGTCCAATATTTTATACAAATGACAGTTTTGAAAAAGTTTTGAAATTTTATTTTTCATTGTATGAAGTATTAATTTACAAACTTTCCTAATGATATAAAATATTAAACTGCTTGATAAAAATAACTTTGTACTTACTAATATAAAATTATTATGTTTTGCATTATTATTTTTTTGCCAACCATTCACAAGTTACCTGTATGTCTTTTGGTACTATTATTAATAACAGATTTCATAATAATAATATGCAGGTACCTATAAACCTGATTTCATGGGGCTATTTTCCGTATAAACCTGATGTCATGTGACTTATTCCCCTTATTAATCTGATCTCAGATAATTTCTCGTATAAATACCGACGGAAGGAAATAATCTGCAAGAATCATGGAAGTGATATTAAAGATCCTGTAAGTAGTCATTAAGGATGTAACAGCACTTAAGTTTAATTTTATATTTGCATATAATTATTCTTCTAAAACAATTTCTAAACATTCAAGAATTTGTTAAATATTTACTGCAAATGTTTATACGATTATTTATAAAAGAATGATATGCATTTTTTATTGAAAATTTGGCTTAAAAATTTTTAAAAAAAATTTTTGTAAATTACTTTCCCCTTTATTTACATGAAATGAAATTTGGTAATTATCTTAGAAATAATCCGTTTTTGGAGCTACTAATAATGATAAATCTTAATGTTGAGTATATCATTTTCGGAATAAAACTATGAAAAAAATTAACTAGATCGTTAAAAAAAATAGATTTATAGGATGTCTTTAAAGGAACTATGTCAAAAACCCAAACAACTTTTTAATTTTCTAAATTCGTATTTTATTTCTTTTAAATCTTCGGGGAAAAAAAATGGTAAAAGGATACTCAATTGTTTGCCATAAATAATATCATTTTTTCTAACAAAAATAAAATTATTGCCTTTATATAAAATATCTTTTTTTTTTACACCTGCAATATTATAAAGAGCGAAAGCTTTACAACCGACATTGTGAAATGGTTTTTAAAAAAAAAAAGAAATAAAATTTGGGTTTGATATAATATATATATCAAATTATAATTATGAAGAAGAAGAAGAAATAAAACGATAAAGCTGATGACGACAATGTTAATCATAGAAACTAAGGACAGACAACTTTTATTTGGTTCATAGTTTTGCTTCAGTTTTGAAATGAAAAGTCTCTTTCCTTTTAAGTTGATTAAAAGATAACACACTTCTGCGTTTGGATAATAGTTTCAGTTAAGTTGTTCGGGAAGGTTCGATTAGCCTCGCCTAAATCATATTCCCCCATTACGAATCGTCACACTTTTAGTGACGATTCGCCGCCTGTGGGTGACGTTTTGACCCAAGTTAGTTGACTATTTTGCCCCCAGATTGTGAATATTTGTAAAATTTGCCCCCATTTTAGTACGGTTCGGGACCCCATTAGAGTAATTGTATGAAAATACTGTATATGAAACATGTTTTATGTCAGTAACATGAATAAATCAGCATTAGCTGTGATTTTGACACCTCAGCTTTTTAGAAGAGAGGTTTAGTTGTGTCGTAATATTAATGTTCTATCTGGTCTCACTGAAATCATGTAATTAATGGTCATTCGCAACCAGGACGTAGAAAAATAGGTCACTATGATCTGATGCTCAGCACAGATAGGGATAACCAGAAATGAAAAAGCAGACATGGCTGCGAAGGCTGGTCTCAATCTCGGAAGTGTCATTGAGTCTGTTTCACTTATTACCGGGAAATGATAATATATTGATGATGTCAGCCCAAGATGTCCCCAGTGTATAGTGAAATGTGGCTCAGACCAAATCCGCTTGATTGGTCTTACAGTTTAATAAACAAAGAAATGATTTATTACAAAAGCTTCAGGCAGTGGAACACCAAAGAATATTCTAGATCCACCTAAATATCTACATAAACATGAATTTACCTCTATGGAAATATTTGTTTTAGAATGTAAATTAACTGACATGATTTAAACATAGGTGGTTCAAAACATTATAAGAAATTGCAAGATTCCTATACATGGAAATGATGTAAACCATAAGGATGGATGAGGTATAGCAAGTACATGATATCGTCTTTATAAGTTATCTCTATATATATGCCATTGTCTTAAAAGCACTAATAAAAGGGACACAACTTTTACAAGCTAGTTTGACTTTCAAGATACAGTGTTATCTCCCCTGCATGATAACATTAGCTTGAGCTAGAGATGTATATCACTAATGACATCCACTTTTCTACATGTTTTCTGTTAATTTTATAATTCATATTATGATAATGGAGCAAATATAACTTACATACTATAAGAAAATAGATGAAACCTTTTCTATCATTCTTAAACTCTATGAAGGTTTTATTCTATCCATTTTTCCAAGGCAAAACAGAGAAGTCCTGAGCATTTGGACTAGCTACACAGCAGTTACTGGACAACTATGGTTAAGTTATTGTATTTGAGAAAGTCTTGTGCATGTGGAAAGCCCGTAACATAGGACACTCTCAGTCCATACCATATTAGTAAATTTGATTTCTTAATTATTACTGTGTGTAGAACATTGAAAATGAAAAAAATAATACATTTTCGTGAGCAGATAATGTTAAACAAAATTTAATTTTAATACCAGTAATATTTGTTTTAAAATCTGTGTCCGTTTTGTAAGCAAGTCAGGGAGTGTCTGCTAAAATGTTTGTTTACTTGAAATTGTTGTTTGTTTTTTTTTGTGTAAAAATGTTTAATTTGCCGTTTTTATAGCAAGTATAACATATTGATATATTTTAGGCAGATCTATAATAGTTGAAATATTCCACCCTTTAACGCACAATTCTTGTTGGCGAAAGGAAAAAAGTCTTGTTCTCAGATGCTCGACTAAATTACTGGTTTATATAGGGTCATGTGTCTTCTTGTAGATGACTAAATTACTGGTTTATATAGCGCCATGTGTCTTCTAATAGATGACTAAATTACTGGTTTATATAGGGCCATGTGTCTTCTTGTAGATGACTAAATTACTGGTTTGTATAGGGTCATGTGTCTTCCTATAGGTGACTAAATTACTGGTTTATATAGCGCCATGTGTCTTCATGTAGATGACTAAATTACTGGTTTATATAGGGCCATGTGTCTTCTAGTAGATGTCTAAATTACTGGTTTATATAGAAGCCATGTGTCTTCTTGGAGATGACTAAATTACTGGTTTATATAGCGCCATGTGTCTTCTAGTAGATGACTAAATTACTGGTTTATATAGGGCCTTGTGCCTTCTTGTAGATGACTAAACTACTGGTTTATATAGCGCCATGTGTCTTCTTGTAGATGACTAAATTACTGGCTTATATAGGGCCATGTGTCTTCTTGTAGATGACTAAATTACTGGTTTATATAGCGCCATGTGTCTTCTTGTAGGTGACTAAAATTACTGGTTTATATAGCGCCATGTGTCTTCTTGTAGATGACTAAATTACTGGTTTATATAGCGCCATGTGTCTTCTTGTAGATGACTAAATTACTGGTTA